CCACCCCCGCATCATGCTCCCCCACCACATCACGCTCCACCACCACCTCATCCTGAGCACCAACCCGCACATCACCACCCTCCAGATACTCAAGCATCTGATCGACCTGAGGAAGAAGAAAACCCTGCAAAACGCCAACGAATCTAGTCGCAACAAGACGACGGATCGGCAATCACGCGGCGCACATTCAACTAGAAAAGACAACACAAGAACAGCAGCAGATGGCGCGGGGTGGAATGGCCTCTTCAGCCTAAAGCCCTCCGGCCATGAATCAATGCGCTCAAGTTCACGTCCATTACATGACCGTTCAGCAACATGCTGACACCTATTGGGCCCCCCACAATTTTGTTACGAAGGAGTTGTCGAGAAGCTACAACACCATTACAACTACAAGCAAGTTAGACAAGCTAGCATGCCAACAGCTGAGTACCTTATGAGGCGACCATCCCATCGGTGCAGCGGTGCAGCATTGGCAACTACAACCAATATCTACTACTACGAACATCTACTATTTATTGCTCCAACCGACACAAACGAAACACAACGCAACACGATCTATAGAAGACACAACTCAGCACTCGCCATACACACAAACAATGAAAACAACATTCTACGCACTCCTACAACAAACAAACAAACTACCTGGGCATTCGATGTTAGAGCCGTTACCCAAGATACAGCAACGGCAATTCGGGGATAGGGAATCGAATCATTCGATAAACGCTTTATCATAGACTTCAAAGCAAACTAATCTTATAGACCATCCATTTTACAGTTTACCGTACCCTCCCACTTTTACAGTTTTCGATCCGACTGCGCGATTTCAAATCATGACCGATGGTGGGGCTATGAATCAGCGAGTCGCAGTCCAGTCGAGTGGAAGCCACACATTTCTACAGCCATCGTCCTTCTGGATCCACAGAGCGGCTGTCATCGCACTCGATCGGGTCGTCTCTGGCTAGGTAGCTAGCGGTATCACACCAAACACGAACGCATATGTAGCAGAAAGCGTCTCATTGGCTTGTTTTGATGCTTTTCTGTTGCCCGAATCCAATCCAATCCAATCAAATCAACGAACAAAAAAAGCCTTTCGAGCCAAGCATACTGTAGATCCAATGGGTTTGTGCCTTGCTGCTTTTCCCTGTTGACTGGACTCGACTCACTCACACTCGAACTCTTTTGCCCCCCATCCAAGCATTCAACCCCATTCGAGCCACGCATCATAGCTTGCTGTTGTTGTAATTATTGCTCTTATTGTATATACCCAAATCGTTTGAGTTTGTCATCTTGTTTGCGCCAATCCTTGTCGACTTTGACTTGTAGTTGTAGATATATTTTGGTTTGAAAAAAGTCTTGCAATGTTTCCCGGGCGAGCATTCCCACTTGTTTGATTTTGGCTCCTTGTGTTCCAATGACAATTCTCTTTTGGGAGTCTCGTTCTACAAAAATGTTGGCATCAATCTTGATGAGTTTGGTTTGTTGTTCCTTGAATGCCGTGACTTGTACTTCACAACAATAAGGTAGTTCCTTTTGAAATGTTTCCAAGAGTGCCGCCCGGATCATTTCCGAAGCCAAGAACCTGGATGGAAAGCAATGAATGAATGAATGAATGAATGAAAGTGTGAGAGACGAGTCGAGTCAAGGCAAAAAGCCCACGAGAAAGGAAGTTTTGTTTGTTTGTCTCACCGTTCGGTTCGATCCGTGTACATGTCTTTGTCATAGAGAGGTGGTCCTAGCGGCAATAGTTGTTGGGCTTGTTCATCGGACATGGTCACGGTGTCGTCGGCTGGGAACATGCCTGGAATGGGTCGTCCCAAGTTTCGAATGGCCGCCGGTAGATCCGGTCCACCCACGAGGATTTTACGGAGTGCCGTCACTCCTGGATCCTCCTTCTTTTGGTTGGAGTTGTCGTCAGAAGAAGCACAGGTGGGAATAATGGCAATGGCCTGTGGAATCATTTGTCTCCATCTGGCCACGGCTTGTTCGACCGTGACCGTCTTTGTGGTTTCATCATCCTTTGGTTGATCAGTGTTTTTTGTTGTGGATGATGATATCTTGTGAATGAGATCAATTTTGTTAATGACGACAATGACAGGTCTGAAATTGGCTTGTGTTTGTATTTTTTGAAACAGGTCATCATTGGGAATGGGAGTACTAAAGAGATCCGTGACAACCAGCAGCACATCGGCAGATTGCAGAGCACCTTGTACAGCTTCCATCATTCCTTCTTGTAGTTTGTATGCTGGTTCGCCAATGACACCCGGAGTATCCAATAGACACAATTGACAATTGGTCGTTGTCAGAATTCCCAAAATGGCATGCCGTGTCGTTTGCGGTCGTCGAGTTGCAATACACAACGGCTCTTCTAGCAAGGCATTCACCAAGGTGGATTTCCCCATATTGGGAGCGCCAATCACACTCACATAGCCACTCCGGAAATCGTGATTCGTCAAACGAGGATCCACGCGACCTTCATAGTCAAAGGCAGAGTCCAACGTCTCCAATAATTCGCGTTGACTACCATCATTACTACTACTAGTATCTTCACTATCACTACTTGTACTTGTAACCATGAAGGAGGGAGACAAAACCTTCACAGGCTTCACTACTACCGGTAAGACAGGCGATGGAAATCCATGGATCATCACAGCCCAAACCAGAGTAGGACACAGCAACTTCACATACAAAGACATCCTCATCTTCATACACAAGTCTTGTTTTGCATTCGAAAAAGAAAAATGATGGCGGAATGGATGATGGGTGACGGTAACACAGGACGACAGACAGACCTCCTAGAGCGGTATCTTCGGTTTGGCAGCCTGTAGAGCTAATGAGCCTCAAGCCTCCAATCTTGGAATGAAGGTGGATGGTGGATGGTGGATGGTTGCGTTCCAACACCACTAACTTGTAGGCAGATAGTCTACAATGTCATGTAGCCCATTAAACCGATACGGTACCCACCTGGTATTTCCAAACGGCATCTAGTTTTTTATCATTCTCGGCTTGGGCACAATGCTAGCTATCGTCGGATGCAATCGAGTCTAATTTGTCTTTGGCCAGGTGTGCACTAGTCTATTCTAGTAGAGTGGATTCGATTCGAGCTAGAGCGGGGCCTGGCGAGGGCTTTTGGTTTGCTTGGAGTTTGCTTGATGTAGATCCTGCCTGCGTCATGGTTGGCCGAAGATGCATGGGTCGCAAAGAGAGTATTCTGAAACGGGGTCTGTGCAGTACCGTACATGTAGATCCAGGAGCTGAACCCGACATCGCTACTGTACCCAAGGTGGGGCCTGGAAGCAAGCTACTGGTATGGCAAGGCATCGTACTGTAGCACAAGTTTGAGGGAGCTACTAGTAAGTAAGAAGAAAGTACTGGGCAAGAGTCAGGCCGAGGGTAGTACTGGTACAGCAAACTACTAGTACTAGTACCTGTGTTGGTGCGTCAGGAAAGCAGCTTCGGAAGCCAGGGCGCCACAGGCTGCACCGGTAGCTATCCTTTAGCAAGCTACCGGTACAGCGTAGCTATTTTAGTAAATAGAGAGCGGTCTCGGTAGAGTCTACAAGCCAAAGGTGGGTGGAATGAATAAAAATGACCAAATTGTGTCGCAGATTGAGCCGACAGGCAACAAATATGCTACAGCTTAATTACCATGGATTTGTCGATGACATTTGAAATTACTTAGTGTATTTGCTTCTAGATACCCACTAAGTACCAACACTTCAACGACTATTTACTAATTACTATGTCTTGACTGGCTTGAATCCGGTACTCAAGTTCCTTCAAACCATTAGCTTTCTTCTCTTTGCGACACAGTCTCCTCCAGATTAATCCGTTCAAGGCGTTGGATGCAAGGTACTTAGCTTCTCCGTTACCTATGTAACACCTCCTGAAACGGTTGGAATTCCTGCCGAGGTAAACAAATGAGGCTGTGTGCTTTGTTTCCTTTGCTTCCGTTGAAGTGTAGGTCTGGCAGTACGGTAGGATCAGTCAGTCAGGAGAAAAGAGTGGAGCATTTGCACAATTCGAAAACTTAGCTTGCTGGAAGACAGGTGAATTGTTGGTTGCTCTGAGTGAAACCATGGTGGAGTTTCGAACGAGGGTGCCTGAGCATCAGCAAGGTGCTTACCAGGGTGCGTACGTGGAAACGTCCATTCCCAAGGTCTCGGAGACTCCGTTGTACGGAAGAGACGATGGGACTCCGGAGACTTTTGGTCCGTTTCATGGCTCGACCCGTCCCACAATGGACAAGAACGGGATGAAGAAGCGCACGGTTCGATTTGAAAACAAGGATCGACCTACTCTTGTTCCAGTTCCAGTTTCAGCTCCATCAGAAGAAGAACGCGAAGATCCCATTGAGAAAGCTTTTGACACTTTCTTCTTGTTCCTAGACGACGTCCGTCAGCAGGCAAGCTCTCCTAGGGCGGATGGTACCATTAGTGAAGGTTGCTTGTATGATGTCCCCAACAATTTGGATGTCAACAAAGCGCTGGAATGCGTCACAGACAGAGTCTGCCGTAACCCCTGCGTAGAAATTGGATGCGGCAGTGTCCAGCCTCCAGCAGATTTGGTGCTGTCTACTCCGTCCAAGGAAGAACGGGAAGGAGCGGATCATGGAGAACCCAAGAAACAAGACTACATGGTCAGCAAGGAAAATTCGGTCAGGGACCTCAGTGCACCCGCTCCTACTACCGAACCAAAAGACGACGCCAAGGCTGCCACCAAGAATCAAACTCCACCACCACCACCCCCGCCCCCCAAGACAGCTACCAAATCCAAAGTTGTGGCTGCTACATCTACAGCTGTGGCCGTGGTCAAGGACAACTCCATCACGGAGCTCAGTGCTCCTCCTGCTGCTGCGCCAAAGGAAAGCAAGACTGTGCCCAAGCAGCAAAAGGATGTCACCACCAAGGCCGCCCCGAAATCGGCCAAGACTGCTTCCGTGCCAACGTACACCCCCGTGGAGACCATTGCGGACAAGCTTCGAACTGTCATTCCAGAAGAGATGCTCCAGCAGATGATGGATGCATTCATCTTGGAAACAGGAGAAATTAAACCGGATGCGGAAGCGCTCACCATCAAGAGTGGCGTGGATTCGGATCCCATTGTAGAAATGATTGACAGACTCATCATTTTCTTTGATGACCTCCAAGTGGCTCTCAAAACAAGAAAGATGGAGACACTCATGGAACACTACAACATGGAGGAACAAATGGCCATGGCAAGACAAAAGATTGATGATATTTTGCAGAGCTACCAAATCAAGAGAGAAAGCTCCAGAGTGGCGCCTGCCAACAAGCAAGTACAGATTGTTGCAGAGGAACAACAAAAGAAGGACCAGGGCGGCGTGGAAGAAACCAAGGACGATGCATTTGACGCGGATAGGAGTGACATGTCTGAAGATACACACAAGACCACAAACACCAAGATCAAGCCTCCATCCTTGCAGATGAGGCCATCCGAGTTGCTCGATGCCCTTCAGTCCGCTGCTACCATTCTATCCGATTCTGCGACCCCCGAAGAATTGTCCCGGTACTCCAAGGAAGAGTTGCACAAGTTGGCTCTGGAAAAAATCATGTCCGAACGAAATGAGATGGAAGAAGGATTTTCCGAGTACAAGACGGAAGAAATGCTCTTGGGTGACCTCATGAAGACGCCTGAAGAAGAAGCAAACGATACGGAGTCGCCCCAGGCGGAGAAAGATGCATCAAAGGCGGAGAAAGATGCATCCAAGGCAGAGAGAAGGCGCAAAGAACAACTGGTTGTCCTTGGTCATTCCGGTACTCTCACGCCTATCCCAGAGGCAGACGAAGGCAGTGCTACGACACCTGCATCTGATATTCTCGATCATGGACTCATGAGCGGTACTGCCCCTGAAGTTCCCTTGATTCCTTGTGAGGCATCTGCAGGAAGAGAAGGCTCATCTCTCGCCGACGCCAATGATAGCGTTGCCGACGACATCGAACAAGAGCCAGACCTCACGAAGGAACCCACAGAGTCTGACCCGGTCGTCAAAGCGATTGACAACATCTTCCTTTGCGTTGATGACATGGAAGAGCAAGGTGACATTGCATGCAACGCGTGTATCGGATCGACCGTGCCGAGTGACCTCATTGATCCCAGTGATGACATTCTTGAGGGGAACGAAGAAGACAAAGAAGCAAGATTGAAAGCTGAAAAGGAAGCAGAAGAAGCTGCAGCCAAGGCAGCAGCCGTAGCGGCGGCATTGCAAGCAGCTGCAGATGAAAACGCGGCCGAGGAGCTAAATAATCTCGTTCAAATTCGAATCGAGCCTCGACCTGAACAATTCATGAAGCCGGAGGAGCGCGGCCAGCTGCTGATCCAGGAGGCACTTCAAGTACTTCGAGAAGCTTCAAGAATGACAGACGAAACGAGTCCACAAGTGAGCAAGCCAGCAACGCAAGAGACGGCGAAACCAAAAGCGACTCCTGAATTGAAGACGGCCAAGCCGAAAGAAGCTACCAAAGAGACGGCGAAACCAAAAGAAACAGCGAAGATTCAGCAACCAACTGACAAGCCCAAGCAAGTGGTAGATCCGACTATTGACCTCGTGGATCGTCTCGTCAGAGTGTTTGATGACGCAAGGGACAAGGCAGAAGTTCTTCAAGAGGCAACAGCGAGGCTGGATGTGGTCAAAGATCTGATCACTGGAACGGCAGGAAAAGACATGGCTGAAGCCGATAAGGAGCGTGAGATTGCAAAACTGGTGGATGCTGCATTTCAAGACAGCGACAGACTCCGCAAGAGCTGGAGAATCGTCATCGAACACCCTGGACTCAAGGGGGTGGAAGACGGCGTGACACCTCAGATGTCCATGGAAATGGACCAAGACAAACAAAAGGTTGAGTTTGAAATCCCAGAGATGATGAAGCAACACCAAGAACCATGCATTGATTGGGGTGGCGATGACAGCGAGTTGATGGCGAGCATTAACGCGGACAGGAAACTGTCCGAGATGGAGCACGAGAACATCTTCCGAGATGTGTCCAAAGGGCTACAGGAATCATCGGGCGGCATCATCACACGATCAGACAACAAAGACGTTCGCTTGATTTACAATGCCCCGGCGTTCACGGAAGGAAACAGCAGCAGCGCTGAGCAGGTTGAAGATCAAGCGAGTCCTGCTCAGGTTACGTTGAAGGTGCTGTCCGCCGAATCAGCTTCCGGCGCCGACAGTACAAGCTCTTCTGGTATGCAAGGACAGCCAGGACAGCAGGAAAAGGCTGTTGCATACAGCTGTGATGCATCCAAAATGAGGGAGATGGGTAAGAAATTCCAAGGTTGGTCTCTGACGAAGAAACGAGAGGAACTGCTGCGTTCTAAACTGGGCAACCCTTATTCAATTTGATGTTTGTTCACCTCATTGCCCACAGCGTGTGAGTAGGAAGTAGATGTAAGAAGGGTTATTACTTAAATGTTGAGCGTTGCACCATTGGAACTTCCAGTTGTCGTCTATGGTCTGCCAGGAGACATCTGCATGTGATATCAATTGAGTCCTAGAGTAGTTAGTTTGCTAAATTGCACGCCTTAGCAAAACTGTTACACGCTATTTGCAAGCCAACAGGAACAACACAAGTGACAGGCAGGTCCTTGAAAGGCAACCAACACTTGTATCTATTGGCTTGTCCTATTAGCCCCCAGCGTACGAAAGTAGTCTCCCCAAACAACGATTATGTTACAGAAGAATTTGGTCAGGTCGGTTGACCTAACTATTCCTTGCTCACATTCAAAGTTGAGAAGAACGGAAGCAAGTCAATCTCCCTGGGGATCATGCCACTCATGGTAAGTTTGGCTGAAGAGTTGCAGCAAGACGAATGTGTTAGGACTCGAAGGCACTGCGACGATTCGCCACCTGTTTATCAGGCTGAGTTCAGCCAGCATACTTACTGATTGAGATTTTGACAACGTGTCCTTCGTCGTTGCAGATGACACCGTGCCAGAAGCATACGTTTTCGCCACTGAGGAAGCGTTTTGCTTGGCTTGCACATGAAGACAAGAAGCTTGCTCCTCTGCGGTTGCAGGATGGCCAAAGATCACCATACATTGAGTAGTACATTACAGCCAGGACATAGCGCTGATCTACTTCAACATCATCATCGCTTGGGCAAAGCTGCCTTTCATCGTCGTTCATCATCCACTGGAATGCCAGGAACTGAGGCGAGCTAGGGTTGGTGAATGCGTCTGGGTCCGAGAACCGGACAATCTTTCTGAACAAGCCTCCAGCGCGAAGCTCAGGTGAGAGGTGACCACAATGATCACCTCCAACCAAATAGAGACCATCTCTTTGTTCGACTTCCTCGGTAAGATCCGTTGTGCCGGTGGCATCCATGGTAACCTCTTCTTCAACTGCAGCATTTTTGATTTTGTCGCCACCAGCTTTGCCACCTCCCTTGCCAATCTCAGCTCCTCCTTGTGCTTTGTCGTCTCCTGTCTTTTCTTTTTCACCTCCCTGTGCATTGTCGCCTCCTTGTGCTTTGTCGTCACCTGTCTTTTCTTTGTCGCCTCCCTGTGCTTTGTCGCCTCCTTGGGCTTTGTCGCCTCCTTGGGCTTTGTCGCCTCCCTGGGCTTTGTCGCCTCCCTGGGCTTTGTCGCCTCCATCCTTGCCAGCATCTTTTCCAAATCCTTTGTCTCCTCCTTTATCGCCTCCTTTGTCCTGAGGCAGAATTTAAAGAAGAGTGTAAGAGGATGCCCAGTCCGCATAGGAGATTCCCTAATCCGTACTTACTCCTGCGGCGCCCTTGTCCTAAGTTGGCCGAGAAATAATAGCTTGGTTAGAATTAATTCCACAAAGCATGCAGCAAAGCTTGAATCACACCAAGAAAATCCACGTACTCCTTTGTCTCCTTTATCCTGTTGGAAAACAGCACAATTTCCGTCTAGTTAGAATAGACAGGCCCTAGAAGCCCCCCACCCGAATCACGCAGCACTTACTCCTTTGTCTCCTTTATCTCCTTTGTCCTGTAAGGGCGTTGCAACGAGTTAGAGAGTGTAATGGGATGGAAGCAAGTATTGGCCCTTCTCCAGTCACGTACGCCTTTGTCTCCTTTGTCCTGTGATTAGAAGCACAATTGCATGACAATGAGCAAGCTGCAACGAATGACACAAGCATGCACAGCGACACATAGATTCTTACTCCTTTGTCCCCTTTATCGCCGGGGCCGTCACCTCCATCAAGGTCAGGATCGAAGCTCTTGTCTTTGCCTCCTTTGTTGTTTCCTTTGTCGCCTTTATCTCCCTTGTCCTGAACCAAACGCAAAACTTTTCTGGTTAGTGACTATTCAAGAAGCAAGCAAACTACAAGCTCAGAGTGACGTACTCCTTTGTCGCCTTTATCTCCTTTGTTTCCTTTGTCGCCTTTATCTCCTTTGTCGCCCTTGTCTCCTTTGTTTCCTTTATCTCCTTTATCTCCTTTATCTCCTTTGTCACCCTTGTCTCCTTTATCCCCTTGTCTCCTTTGTCACCCTTGTCTCCTCCTTTGTCTCCTCCTTCTGTCTCCTCTCCTTTGTCGCCCTTGTCCTGCGACGAGAAATTCATACAGATCATTGAGTTACGCTTGACCAGAACGATTCAAAGATCAGCCATGAGTTGTTTGTTTGTTGCACGTACCCCTTTGTCTCCTTTATCTCCTTTGTCCTGTCACAAGAAATCCATGCAGAATTTAGATAATCCGATTTTGACTGAAGCAAAATGAACTGAGAAGCCATGACTTGTTACGTACTCCTTTGTCGCCCTTGTCTCCTTTGTCACCCTTGTCTCCTTTATCACCCTTGTCTCCTTTGTCTCCGGAGTCCTGTCACAAGAACATATAAAAGTGTGAGAGTGGATACTCTTATTTTGACTGAAGCACAATGGACCGAGAAGCCATGAGTTGTTTGTTGTCACGTACGGGTCCTCCTTTATCTCCTTTGTCTCCCTTGTCTCCTTTGTCCTGCAACAAGAGATTAATGGATGTTAGACTGAAGCCATTTTGACTCAGGCATAATGAACCCAGAAGCCATGACTTGTTACGTACTCCTTTGTCGCCCTTGTCTCCTTTGTCCTGTGACACAAGATTCATATGGATGTTAGACTGAAGACTATTTTGACTGAGTAGATTGAACCGAGAAGCCATGAGTTTTGTGACGTACTCCCTTATCTCCTTTGTCGCCCTTGTCTCCTTTGTCTTCCTTTGTCCCTTTGTCACCCTTGTCTCCTTTATCGCCCTTGTCTCCTTTTCGCCATTGTCTCCTTTGTCGCCCTTGTCTCCTTTGTCACCTTTATCTCCTTTGTCGCCTTTGTCCTGTCACACAAGATTCATACAGATGTTAGACTGTATCCTAGATGGAACCGAGAAGCCATGAGTTGTTACGTACTCCTTTGTCACCCTTGTCGCCTTTGTCACCCTTATCTCCTTTGTCACCCTTATCTCCTTTATCACCCTTGTCTCCCTTGTCGTCCTGGATAGAAAAGGGTGTATGCAGGTTTGGTTAAGCTACCCATCGCTTTTCCAGTCAGTCAGAGGGTACACCGAAAGACGGCACTTACCGGGATACTAAATTGGAGATAACGGAGGAATTGTTCTAGATCTTCATCTTCTGCGTGTTGTTGTAGTGCTCGTTTTTCTTCGTCTTGTACTGGAGCGTCTTGTACTAGAGTGCGTCGTTGGAGGAGTTCCCCCTTGATGCGGCGTCGCTTGTTGTAGGATTGCTTGGGCTGCTGTTGTAGTTGTCTCTGCCGTTGTTGATCTTGTGCTTCATCTTTTCGGTAGTTCGCCGTTACGGCGAGATTGTCAATAAGGGTATCATCGCTGCCTTGGGCATTCACATTGTAGTAGGTAGGTGACGAGGCAACTGCGGCATTCACTTGCGATATTGGGATTAACAGACCCAGCAGCGCCAGGGCATAGACCGCCAAGGCACTCATGGTGGAGAGATTCATTTTAACTTACTACGGTACTATGCCGTGCGTTAACGCCAGCTTGGGGATTCGATTCTACTGCTGATGGCTAGACTACTTGTTGGCATCACCATGGACGAGATGCAGTATTTATCTTTCGCTGATGATTGTCGGTGGCAGTTTCCGCGCTAAAGAAATGAGGATTGGGTTGCCTTCGAGCAAGCCAGCTTTTGAATTCGAAATACCTTAATCACACTGCAGCAGGTGCGTCAACGGAGTTAACAATGCCGACGGTTGGGCTCGGGTTGGAGGGAAAAGAAATTGGCAGCGGCGTGTGGGAGTTAGTCTTGGTTCAACGCAGTTCCAACAGACCTCAGTCCAATCCGACAGCAGGACAGCAGGGTGGATTACTGTACCGTAGGCAACAGCAGGTAGGAGATAGACTCGACTCTCTGATCAAGCAAAGTGGGCCAAAGTCACTGCTGCTAGCTAGATAGCCCTCGTTTCCAGTGACAGGGGCCTGATTCATCAGTAGCAAACTAGAACAATGGAAACGGATGGCTCCTCGTCTGCTGAAAAGCTTGAGCCCTCGAGCACCGCCATCATGTTGTTTTCCCTGGCTGAGCGGCGATTTGAAGCGTTTCAGATCAAACAAACAAGTCCATTCCGTTGCTTCCGGGCCTACTGCTGCTGAATTCGATTCGATGCACGCGAGGAGTTGAACGATGAAAGCCAGGCAAAGCCACAAGCACCACATCTGCCTGGCCCGGTTGTTCCTTTTTGCAGCCTTTTGCTTTTGATCATGGTTCCTCTGTCATAAAAGAAGCTACGACTGTACTTCGTCCTCATGATTGCCGGCGGAGAACTGTCAATCGTTGCTACAGTCCTGCCAGGGTTGAAGTGATGCCATGCGAGTTCTCTGCCTGATCAACTATTGCTTCACCAGTTGCTTGAAGCATGTATTCAACCCTAACGACCGCTTTGACAGTTCTGGGTTTTGTTGAATCTACACGTTGAAGCTATTCGCATTGCTAGCTAGCTCAATCTTCGTCTGCCAACAGCTACTAGTAGCCATATCTGGCTGCAGGAAGTATGGAAGTCCCGTGATCCGGCCTGGGTTGACGTCGTGGCTCTCTGTGGCTCTATACCACGGTACCTAGCTCCTAGATACCACCTACCGGTACATGGCCCCCAACGTGTTCATTTGTGAAGAATTCACCCCTTGGGCTCAACTAGCTACGAGGACGTTGGAGAAATTCGCTTTCTACATTGGGGACCACGACCCATGCATGCGTACAATTTCAACATCATGCGGCAAGAATCCTTGCGGTATCGTACCTGTCACTCAACATGGATGGACTTGCATGCTGTGCGACAGGCCACATCATTTGCAGCTTTGCCCTGCGTTTGCAGCTTTCTTGCCCTTGCCCTTGCCGTGCAACGTGCGCAGTGACAGCACTATCGTAGGAAAACATCATTCTCTCAGGTGGTCCATGGCTGCTGCCTTTGAGGTTCTCTTGTCCAGCCGACTGTCAATGTACCGTATTCAGTAATGCGGTACTGTTCTAAATTGTATTCATATCCGGTTCTCTACATGTAGCTGTCCCGTAGCACAACATCTGGAGAAGGCTGCCGGTGGCGAGCCGGAGGCACAGCTGCGGCCACTCCTTCGGCGTTCTATAGTGTTGCGACCCGTCATGAGCTGTCAATCGCATCAACTCCCCGTAACTCTACTCCTTGTTTTCTTCAGCGATGGCCGTGTCTAATAAATGTGGGATGTTGTTGTAGTAGTGTTCTCTGTCATACAACTCCGGACTCCAGCGCAGCTATGCATCGGGCTCTCTATTATAGTCATCGATCCTAATCAAAAAAATCAAATCAGATTCGACCGCTTATGAAAACTTAGTCCATGTCAAAGCCCACGGCAGACAATGTTATGGCCGTCTTGAGCCTTGATCGCAGTTCACCTTTGCCTTGGTAAAGAGGAAGATCCAGACGGTTGAAGCAGGTGCTGGTGTGAAAGCAAAAGCGGGACAACACATGTGAGATGGTTTTAAAGAAAACCCATACGTAGTACTGTCATAGCATGGAAAACTTACTGGGCACGAGGATAAGTGTGGACACCGCCCTCAACCCCCTGAAGACAAAACTTCTTGATGTTTCCATCATTCCCCTGCAAGACTGAGAAGCCACGGCTCGGCACACCCGAAGTCCCGGTCACAAACTGCAGCAGTCTGGCCTTCATTTCCTGGTCAAAGTCGTTGCGAACAACCTCCCAAAACCACTTGACAACCTTGTGTTTTTCTTCCAAGTCTTTGAAATGACCTGCGTACTTCGTATTGGCTTCCCAATCTTCCATGTCAATGGTTGGAAGGCCACATAGAATCAGCTCCAATTCATGGGAATCAAACACTGTCAGAACTGATTCTGGCACCACATCAAAGAAGCCCAGCAAAAGCTCTGTCAGTTGAGGGCGCGTGTGTTCAAGCATGTGATAGCGCAGATTAGCTTCCAGATATTCAACCAGATTATCCTTGGTAACGTCAATGTCGGCCCCGTTCGGTACCAGATCAATCGTCTGGTGAGCGCCAAACAGTTCCTCTGTCACAGTAAAGTCCAAGCAGAGGGCTTCCAATGTATCTTCGTCCATTTCTGTTAAAGCGTGTAGTGAATTGTAGTATTCCTCGTCTTGTGCGGCCAAATCATCAAATGTGATGGGCCACCCCAAAATGTGTTTGTAGAGCGACCTCACCAAGTGCCCATGAATCAATTGTCGATCCAACAAGGCACGACCCATCATGCGGCCAAGAAAGCGAAAGTAGATGAGATGGTCGCTCGGGCAGGATATCTCTGTGGGCATGCAGTATGTTGATTAGTGAAAGCAGTCGGTTTTGTTTGATTGCGGATCAGAGGAGAGGGCGTTACGCCAGGGCATGCGCGCAAGTGCGGTACCATAGTGAGAAGGGCGGAAGAGTGCAAAGTAGGTCAGAAAGCAGAAGCAACAAAACAACCAGAGGCAATTACAAAACGAAAAGACGCACCGCTGGTTGGATTGATGGTTGAACACGCCTGATTGTTGGCACTGGACATCCACAATCCAAAATTAGGATCAAAGATTTGTTCGGTAATCAATTGAAACCATTCCCTCGTAACACCTCCTGCATCCACAGCCGGTTCGTTGACAAATTCCAATCGCCACCGTTGTCGCAATTGTGTCCTGGAGAGTGCCATGATGGCATCGACGCTGTCTTGTAACAAGTACGTTCGTCTGAGATACATCTTGACGTGTCCTTCCTCCCAAGGGATCAACAATAGTTTGGATAGGGATTCTTCAAACCAGACTAGTTTGTCGGCAAATGGTTTTTGTTGAATGGCAGCAATATCGGCATAACTCAGCAACACCTTTTGATGCAGCACCAATTTGGAATCCACCGTGGCATCCTTGGCCGGTACCCAGGATAGAATTCCCGTTCGAAGACGAGCGTCATTTCCCTTGAGCAGTGTCAAATGACGACCATAGGCGGATTTGCGGAAACTGAAATCATTCATGGCATTGACATCCAACAAGCGACGTGACTCATCCAGTGTCGACGGACTCTCATCGCTGTCCTCATTGGCACCGGAATGTTTGGTGACACGGACCCATTGAAACTTGAGATCCGAGACTCGAATTGTCCGACACCAACCCGATGCTGGAGGATGCACAATAAATTGTCAGAATCCAAAAACACAATACAAAAGAATGATATCAAACAAAACAGCTTTGTGAATGGCAACCGACCGCGACACGCACCAGATCCCTTTTCATTTTCGTATTGGAGTTGAATGTTTTGTACCATCTGCGCTGTGACGGGTAAATTGAATCGAATTTTTTGTCCAACTTGAACATTGGGTGGACAAGTCACCAATACCCGTTGTCCATTGGCCAGTAGAGCAAAGGGTTGGCCTGGTTCGACGCCAGCAGGAACTCTCACTTCAAACATTTGAAGTTTGCTGGGTTGTGGTTGTTGCTGAATGGGCATTTCGGAAGACTCGGAAAATTCCTCCAAGTCACCTGTCGACGAGGAGCTATCGGCGCGAGACCGATTGGGAGCGGTACTATGATTACTGGTGTTGACACTAGCAGCACTGTTGGCACGTGATCGATTTCCAACCGATGTGGAAGAATCATTGTTATTATTGCCAGCACTGCTATTGGCGCGACTGCGGGGAGGCACAATTTTGACCTTCTTTCCAGGTCCAGCATCAGGAGGGCAAGGGATGACGTATCGCTTGCCTTGAACATCGATAGTAAAGGGCATTCCAGGATGAATATCGGGAGGAATAGTGACCAAGAAAGCTTTGGGTCTATCACTGCTCTTGGTGGTGCTAGAGGGGCTATTTTGGATTTGTTTTGGTGGTTCCCGTTTGGGCGATTTGGAAGCCTGTTCGTTGATACTAGGCAATGGGGGTGGGGGTGCTGCTGTGGGAGTTGTCTGAGGCTCCTTTTTGCTGGAAATTTGTTGCTGTTTCTGCCATTCTCGGTATTTTTCCATTCGTTTTTCATTGCTCTTGACTACTTCCGCAGTCATTTCTTCGCACCCTCCTCCTCCCAGACCATCCGCTGCTGTCAGCTTGGCAGCAATCAATCGTTTGCGTTCCTTAATGGGCTCGGGCGGCACTGTGATTTGTAGTGTCTTGCCAGGCCCTGAAGTAATGGGACACCGAACTCGCACGGATCGACGTGCATGCTGTACCGTAAATTCACTACCGGGACGAACACCCTGAGGAACTTGTACTCGGAGGACTTGTGCTGGACCTGACGTCGTTTGAGTGACAGAATAGGCACCTGGTCGACTGATAGGGTCTTTCTTGCTGGCAGCGTTACTAGTGCCGTTTGCGGCAGAGGCAGCGGAAGATCCACCTCTTGATCGATTGGGAGAGTGGGCAGACCGAGACTGAGCCACACTGCTGCTCGGTCGAGATCGAGTGGGAGAACGGGGAGCGCTGCTCATTGTCCAGTAGCTAGCTAGCCCTCACTCAAGCCAGTTATACGGCGGGATGTGAACGGTCCTTGCTTTTTTGGTTTGTTGGAAAGAGAGAAAGCATCGAACCTCAGATGATCATGAAAGCGATGAAATGATTTCACAGGGAGATTTATGAAAAGATCAAGCCAATTATCTTTGATACACGCATACGCATACGGTACCGTACCGCGTAGCCCGATGCTTTACAACATACCGGTAGCGAAAGAATGATCGAATGAACAATCGGAAATCGGAATGTTCTACAGCGTACCATCATTTGACATGAGAGAGATCTTGCTTGCTTTGCTTGCATAAATAACCTTGAAGGCAACCACCGTTGGGGCGTGCCGCAGCAACGGATCATCTCCTCAGGAACAATTGGTCGTCGTGAACAGGTTTTTCTCTATCTATCTAGACTATCTAGTAGGAGGTGCCAGGATGCTCTGAGCTACAATAGATAGATAATTACGTTTTGCCAACACGTGGCCGGCTCTAGCTAGATGATGAATCGTTTGTGTCGGGTAGGCTGCTAGTTTGTGCCCGTCTACTAGCTAGTTCTGTAGTTGCTTGGTAGACGTTGCCTTTTTTCTACCATGCGTGTGTCTGTGTGTGTTTTAAGTTTTTGCACATACATGTAGAGAGTTACTCTCGGCACCGTAATGCACGGTCCCTTATTACCTGACAGCAACGATATATTATTATGATTTGAACATGACACTGAAACTCCATCCCATTCTATTTCTCTCTCTCTAGCGTCTTGCATTGACGTTTTGTTGTGTTTTGAGTTCACACGTTTTGAACTTTTTGTAATGCTTACCCAAATGTAGGTGCCTTGAGTGGATCGACACCGTGAATACGAATGGCTCCGAGCATGCGTTCGGGCAATTCCTGTGCGGTGTTACCTTGAATGACAAACCCGATATCGCACGTCAAGGCATTCATGTAGCGCCGACAAATCGAGACAATCCGTTTCGCCGTATTACTGGAATTTCCAATATCCAATTCGGCAACCAATGTGGAATCCTTGATTTTGTAAGAGACGGGCAATTTGGTACCGATAATGGCAGGTTTTCCTGTCACGAGATTGCGAACGACCCAGGGTCCTTGCACAACGTAGGGAATCAGTTTCAAGCGTTGATTCTTGTAGTGTTGATCACCCATGATCCATTGCGCTAGTGTGCGTTCTCCTGGCGAGAGCGAATCGAGGGATGGAATATCAGTGGCTTCTGTAAAAGAAAGGACAGGCTCTTGCCCTTGGTACCACTGTTCTTGTGGCACACGTTGCAGAAAAGGAACAATTTTGGCAGGTATTTCAAAGTGTAGCATGAGTAGTCCCCAAGGGAATCTGAAATTGATGATAAAAGTGGGTTTGGCGGGAAGTGTCCCATTCAACAGAGCGTTGCGTCTGAAAAAAAAAGACAAATAGATAGATGGAAAATGAGCACAAAAAAAGGAATGCATTGGTCAGTCCTTGTCTTCGCCTTCCTTTTTGGCTTGTAAGTGATGACATGTGATGTATGTATGCTTACCTTTCTAGCACATGAGGTGGCTTTGTGTGTGCCTTTTCATTTTCTGGAAACAAGAGTAAATCGCATCCTCTGGCATCCATGAGGTAAGGAGACGAGTGTGATTTTTTCTTGTCCTTGAGGTAATTTTTGCCTCTGACTTTGAAGATGGAAATGGGAGGTTCACTCCAGCAATTGAGGTCTCGCGTTTCCGCTACTGGATAGCGTAGCAGGGTCGGTAGAGTAGCGGCTTGTTCGTCGACTACCAGATCGACCGTGGCGGCGTCGGTTTCCGTATGATCGTGTTCTTCATCATCTTGGTCAGTACTGGTTGGAGTGGTGGTGTGGCTAGGCAACGCCTCTTGAAGTCCACTAATGTCAAAAGGATCACTGGTGGCGCGTCGATGGTACCGTGGAGACGTATGAGACGATCGCTTTCCCTTTTTGGAAGAAGTGGCCGGAGTGACGACCGTGGAATGTTCATTGTTCATCGTGGAAGATTTCTTCTTGATGGGAGTTCCGTGTGGTTGATCGAGAGGGTCTTCTTCTTCGTCCATCACTTCAAAGCCGGCCATGGAATGCGTACTGCCAGTAGTACTAGCGTTACTACTAGACGACGCTTGACTCCGCTCCGTCTCTTCGTCGCGCTTCAATCGGCGCTCTTGACTCCGACTGCGAAAGCTACGTTTCTCTGGCGAAGTCAAAGGGTGGTGATGATCCACGCTAGTACTAGTAGTGCCAGTAGTGCCAGTGCCAGTACTGTCCGTACTCCCCAAACGACGGCGTCCAGTACTCACGCGGCGAACCAACTTCATCTTGTTCATCTTGATCTAGCTACTGTAGCTAGCTTGTGTAGTAGAAGTAACTAGTAGTAGTAGCGACTGGTCCTCTTTCTTTCGTCGGATTGGATTTTTGTGTGGCAAAGAGACACGATCTAGGATTTCCACTTGCTTCTTTCTTACTTGCGGTCTTTCTTGCTTACTTGGTTGCGTCTTGACCCGATGTGAGTGCCTTGTGCCTGTGCCCATTCACTTACTTGCTTCTATCCTTTCTTGTCGGCAGTCGGCAAGGCCTGTCAGTCAAATTTTAGCACTCACTCACCTTCCACGAAACCCACTCGGCAACCGCAGCAAACAAGATCAATCCATCCATCCACTTTGCTCTTACTTGTTCTTCACGAGTTACTTTTTAGTGTCTTTGCTCGAGTACTCCTTTGGGACATTGTATGTTCGAGAACCCCCATCGACCACTGGTTGCAACGTGGAAAAATGGAAAATGGCTTCGAAAATGTGAATCTTGCCTTTTATTTCACTATAATAATGAAAAACAATCGAATATTTCATACCATATGATAAAAATACCAAGTCTTCCGTCAAATTGGATGTGCGCGCACCAAAAATCAGTTCCGGAAGCGTGCCTCCAACAACGGATTTCAAACAACGGATTTGCACAAAAGGAAGAGCAACACGACGCGCGTGCTCTTACCCGTTATCTGTCATCGTGACATCCGTCTCATGTGTGCGTGTGTGCGTGCAGCCAAAGACTATCCATAGGGATGGAGATATCGTACAACAATAGAGCCCCAACCCTCACAACGATTTCGGGTCGAGTACGAGTGACAGTCGGTCGAGTCGAGTCCGATTCCTTTGCATTGCCGGCCTCAAGCATAAGATAGATGTCCAGTTAGTTAGTTGATGTTGGTTATAGTAACAGGATGTAGATCTCTAGAGTCGAGTCAAGGCTTGGCAAGGCATCTCTGCACAAGCTTTCGTCAGGGCCAGCTTATTTACTATGTATTGTATTAGTAGCGATCATTCCTTCAAGCTCCTCGCCTCTTCTTGTTTCGTCTTCATCGAAACCTTGATTCCTCACCCATCAATTAATCAGCTACGGTACCAGGTACCGTACCGACGCATATCAGCCAACCAGTCACTTCCTCAAAACTTAGAAACATTGTATGCAATTTCTCCCTCGTCCACCAGAAAACTCTCAGGCGTCACTCCCATTTCCCCTACAGCAGCAGAGACCAGATACGATGCTTCATGTTTTTAGGCAAGAAGGCGAGAGCTGGCTATTAGTAGCCAAGTCAGCAGCTCCCGTCTCGCTCGTTGCCAGCCAGCAGTGCTCATTGGTGTGCATAGCAGCCGCAACGGGTACCGTACCGACAATGCATCCACCAGAGAAACGCTCAGTCGTCACTCCCGCCCCTGCTAAGGCAAGGCCAGCCAACAAGCCAACACCTCGCGACCAGCAGTGCTCAATTATTGGTGGCAGCTGCAGGATCACGACGTGGAGTGGATCTTTAGAACTAAAATATATTAGTTCGACAAGACTATCGACTGGGATCTTTTACTTATTTGTCTTTGGAAGCGGGTGTTTTTTTTTGGGAGATGTGTTCCTAGACTACTGTATGATGTGACGTGCTGTGAAACCAGCTTTGTTGTTTTCATGTTTTCATTACCTGAATGAATCCATACTGTACTGTAGTTTGCTTTGTTCTAGCTAGGGCAAGGTGAAAAGAAATCGAGGAGAAGTCGCTTTCACGTAAAAAGATAATTAAGAGCAGTGTCCCCATGTCCCCATGTCCTAGATTTCAAGATTCACAGCAGCTTTCACAGTTCACAGCTTGCCAAAATGCCTAACTGGAACTAACTGGAGTTGTACTCGAGTACTTACTTGATCTCTACTCCATCCAGAGAAGAGCTGGCTATCCTGTCATCCTGTCTGATGGGTCCAAAAACTTAGATTTCAAGTGACTGTCACTCAACTCAGGTCATTGGTGAAAAAGAAGGTGCAACGGGTGCGGCTTCAAGCCATCAAGACATCCCCTCGCGAAACATCAACGTAGAGTAGTAAGATTTTTTGCGAAAATGCAACAATGTCTGCCTTCAGACGAAGCCCTTTCAGGTTTCAGTTGACTGCATTGAGCTCTCTGTGGCTGGTGGAAGGTAGCCCAATACCATTGCCTTTTCCAAACAGACTCTTTAAGCATTTCACGTTTTTACGTTCTAACCATGGATTCCTTGCCTGTCTTGCGGGGCAAGATCTCTTCCAGTATGACTACATAAATGCTTTATGGCTGCTCAAAAAGACGGAGAGAAAAAGAAGCGCTTCGTGGTGCCAACACAAGACCCAGCCTTTGCATATTGATTTATAGTTTGCTTGCTTGTTGTTGCAAGAAGGGGTGGTGCTGCTACGTGGTGGTACTACATCAATCAATCAAGCATCCCAGTACAGTAGGAGATCAACTGCCTGTCGCATGGGTCTTTCTGAAGCCTCCAATACAGCATCCCCCACGGTCCGACCAGCCAGACTCGAAAATGTCTGGGGAGTAAAAGACCTCGCCCTGAGGAGCTCTGAGGATTCGGAATTGCAGCTTTAAGGTGCTCGCGAAACGAGCCAATGCTGCTCAGCTCCTTGATGTTGGTCGTCGTCTAGCCAGAGGTGGCAGTGGTGGGCTGTTTTCTCGGTTTTTCTCGGTTTTCAACTTCCTTAGAACATCAATACTGCTCTTGGTTTGATTGATCGGTGCGTTCTTGCTTCGATGTTCAACGTTTCCCTGCTCCAGAATTTTGAAACGATGACCCTCACATTTAGCCATTCCACTTTCTGTTCCAAGCTGTTACCAAGTGTGAATGAGATCGCTATGGCCCTGCCCAAGATGGTGGCACGGAGGCACATGGCTCCTGCCAAAGAGCTGCCCCTCGCGGAACTGCACGGTCTTAAAGTTTCCGACAGACCACGGGGGTGCGGCAATAAGAGCGAGTCTTCAGCCGCGACCCCGTCTATCCGGTGATCCCAGATGCATGGAAACCATACCGCACTGTACGAAGCTGCCTGGCTCTGGCTAGCTAGCTAGTAGTTAGTTGATAGATAGATGTGGGATGTGGGAGGTTCTGTGTGGATTGTGATTCTTGTGTTCTTGTCAGTGCTGACGATGGTTCTACGATCAACGTGGAGAAAATATAATTGTTAGCCTTTCTTATTGAAGAGGTGTATCCGGTATTTGCACTTGCTTCTTTTTCCACGGCCGCGACGTCGCCTACTTCTTTGAAGTTGTGGAGGATATAAGAATTGTTGAGGTTAATTTGTCCTAATAGGCACAATGGGTTCTTCTTTTGGTCTTTGTGACCATTATGAGTACAACTATTTTATAAGACAAATGTGAAGGAATCCATGGCACTGTCGAGTTCAGAACCAGTTCCTCCCATGCAATACAAAAATGGGGGTGAGAACACAACGGCGATTAACGATTGAATGCTCAGATAGATAGTCAGATAGATGCCTTGCAAGGCAGAGGAGTAGCCAGCAGCTGGGTGACTTTTTTCGCCAGAGTATATGTTTCCATCCAGAGCGAAGAATCGGACTGGATCGTCTTTTGCTTATCACTGATAGCAGTCTCCTTAAATTTAATTACAAGTAACTTTTTGGGAAATTTGAAACTGCCTGTCTTGAGAACAAGGTTACTTGGATCTGGGAAGTGGGTTGTTTTTGCATTGGTTTCCCTTTATCTATTCTTTGAAACTAGCTAGTTTTAAAATAGTAGCTAGCTAGGTTTGGAAGCATTCTTGTCATCATTCCAACATACGAGCAGCTTCGATTTTATTGATGCAAACGCGTGCCGACCTCCCTGGTACACTTCTACTCGAGCTCTCGTAGAAGTGTACAAGAAAACCTGGCACGCGTTTGAATCTTTAAAACCGAAGCTGCCTGTACCCTGCCGAGCCCCAAATATATATTATTCCCATAATTGCATAGCTGATAGGTCTAATCTTTGGGATATCCTACGGTATACCCGCATACCCCCAAAACTCTCTTGCATTGCATTGCTAGATTTGAGTGGTTTTGCGCGAGATATGTCATTTAAAAAAGATGTGCTCCTATCTGTCTTGTTCAATAAGACCTTTGGTTTTTACGAACAGTCTATGGTCTTCATTCGTCAGGACCGTCTCGCCAATGGCATTCCTTGGCAGTTGGTCGGCAAGTGCCCCTATATTCATTTGCGAGATCTCAATTACTAGCGAGTTATTGAACAAAACTTTAATATCCAGTTAGACACTCCGACATTGAAGGTCTCCCTACAGGATTTTACCCCCTGGACACCAGTTTCATTCTTTTGTGACTCCTCTCGCTGCTTGAAAGTCCAAGGAGCAGCGGTCGATGCGTCGATGCTGTTGGTAAAATTGTTGAGGTCCTGATCCGAACCGCCCCGTCTCAATTCCTTGCTTGCCAATGGAGGGCAATGTGCTAAAAAAGACCCCACTACTCAGAGTAACAGTTACTGATGAGAGCAGAGACGACCGAACGAACTACTGCCAGTGCAAGAATCCAACAACGCAATACAACACAGCCACACACGCAGTCTTTCCTACCATCTTTTCGTGGCGGTATCAAGAAGTGTGAAGAGTGTTCATTCAATTCTTAATGCATTTATCCGAGCTATAGCCTGGCTTGACAACGGAGACAAAGGGTCCTTGTATACCCCGAACTCGATTGATTTCTACGATTTCCTCCGACCACGTCTTACAGATACTAAACTCGACCACTGAGGCGCCTCAGAAAGCCGTACTACTAGTATTGGTTTTCTGAAGCTGGATGCCAATACTACTCGAGTGCAATCCCAAGAGCTCCTACCGTACTTCCTTGGCCCCACTGTGGTGGTGCCTTTGCCAGCTGTGATTCTTTCAATCTCCCCCCATCTACAAATTGAATTCACAGGAAGCTCTTTGATTCTTGCACCAAGCATTCGCTGCTCTGCCTCTTAATCATCACATAACTTGGCTTATTGATCAAAGCAATCGGCAATCTTACAAACATGAAGAGAGGAGAAACATCCCCGGACCAACAAGCCATGGGCCAAGCCGCCATGGAATCAGGAGGTAAGTGGAGCTACTGTAGCAATGGGATACCCATCTTTTGCGTTGTCATACCTTATCTTATCTTACCTTGTCTTATCTTGTCATATCTTACCTGATGTTTGTCCTGTTCAGGTGAGGTTGCTTCGACATCTACCCCCGTCGCCAAGCGCCTTAAGATGGCGGAAGACGGGAATGCCGATGAAGACTCGGATGATAATGACGCTAACATGGTGGAAGCTAAGATGCCTGCCGGGAGACTCAAGTCCTTGCCACCCGAAGACGAAGAGGAGCACGACATCAAGATGTCCGGTAGAGCATCCCCCCAAATGACTGCCGAAGAGGTGGCAGCCGCCAAACCACCTCCACCTCCCCCGCCACCCCCGGAACTCATGACACAGTCCTTCCCTCAGAGGCTCATGGAGATGCTAGATAAGGAGGTAGTACCGGATGCCATGTGGTGGGCAGAAGAGGGAAGAGCATTTGCTATGGACCTCAGCAAGTTTGGTGATGTCTTACACCGACATTTCCAAGCCACCAAGTATGCGAGCTTTACCCGAAAACTCAACAAATGGTAAGTAAGGGGCGAACCCGTAGAACAAGTGAGGAGTGCACCTACCTTGCCTTTTCCACATGTGCTGGACTGGTAGTCTCACTTTTCCCATTGTTGCTATCGATCGATACTATATCTATCCACCTGTTTTGGCAGGGGCTTTCGCAAGATCAACAACATTGACCCCGACGCTCCCGACAGCGTCGTCCTCTACCGGCACGAACTCTTTCAAAAGGACAAACCTGATCTGCTCGCCAGCATGAGCACCAAGAGAAAGAAGAAGGACAAGAGCAAGGATAAAGACTCCAAGAAACGCAAGGATGACAGCAACAAGTCAGACGATGAGTTCGAAAGTGAAGGAGACCTAAAAGCCAGGGACGCATCCGAAGACACCACCGATGTGGAACTACAGGTCCAGGCCGTGGAAGACGAGAAGCAAGACCAACCGGAGGAGGAAGAAAAGGCACATTCCATGGACTCGCCGCCACAAAGACTGCCTCATCTGCGGCCCCTCCAAGAGTCGGAGAGCAAGAGTGAAGGAACATCCGACTTTGTCAGGCAGCAAATGCAGCAGCAGCTTTCCCTGGCATCCTCGCTGGCTACCCATCGTATCACCGGACAGCACCAGCAGCAACCAACGATGGTCCCAGAACGACAGGTCGCCGCTCGGCGACGGGATCCGAGTACTAACCAAAGTCTACTGGAATCTTGGTTCGCACAAGAGTCAGAGCAACAGCAAGAACAGCAAAGGCTGGAACTGGCTTTGCTTCGTCAACAGCAGGAAAATCTCGCAAACGAAATGGTCGCTCAGCGCCAGCTTGCTGCCTCCACGAACCGTCTTCCCTTGCATCTGGCTTCATCCATCAGCTTGGAGGAGCGCCTGGCGGCTCTGCAAGATCCTGCTCTTCAAGGGATTCATCAGCTCACAAGTACCGCAGGTCGGACCATTCCTCCAGCCAGGTCTCACAGCATGAATGATATTCCATCTGCCCTTACACAGGGCGGGAACTACAATGAGCTTGCTGCCAGACTCCGGCTTCAGCAGGCACAAGCTCAGGCGACTGACATGACCATGTCCTTAGGCTTGCCTCCACAAAATCTATCGGACCTTAGGGCTGCACTGGAGGCACGATCACAAGCCGACATTGCATCCACACTCCAGCTCCTGGCATCACCGTCTTCACCAGCGCAGTCTCGTTTGGCCATGCGAGGCGACACGCTCTCTGGTTTCGACCTTTTGTCACCGAGAAGTGGCGCGGCAGCCACCAGCAATGCTGCTGCTGGCCTTCATTCTACCTTGCACCATTCCAGAAGCTTTCCTGATACCACAGCCCTACTTCAAATGCAGCTGCAGATTGAACAGCAGGCTGGAATTAGACGGGCGTCTACTTCCAGTGCAGCGTCTCTGTCGGCAGCAGGCGGGGCCCTGGCAGGAGCAGCCGGACTTGGTGGATCCGCAGGGGCGGCATCATTTGCTGGTGCGGCCTCCCTTGCCGGGGCTGGAGGTGCGGCGTCTCTCGCTGGCGCCGCTCGTTCCAACCAGCATCCTACGGACCAACAGCTGCTGGAGATTCTGTTGGAGAGGCAACGTTTGCAACAACAGTTGCAGGAAGAACATCAACGTCGTCAGCAACGAAGGTAGACTCGAATCGATGACAACGCCACAGCAGACAAAAGCAACGACTTCGGAGGGGTGAATTGCGCTTGCAAATAAATGAATTGGCTTGGAAACCCGGGGGCATTATTTAAAACGACTGAGGCTTGATCGGTGTGGCTGGATGAATGGGACTTGAGAAGAATTGGAAGTCGGCATGGTTCGAACACCGAATACATGATATCAAAAAAGGGGACTTAAAACATGCATGAAAGACTCGACGCAGAAAGAGAACATAATAGGACAATGCTGGCTACCGGCAGCGAGGTGGATTGGCTCACTGCATGTCCTGGGGACAAGAAATGACTGTGGCCTCGTCTGTGCAGACAGACAGACAGAGGTACGGTACGCTAAGGCCACATAGATAGATTAAAATCTGAAATAACTCCTTCAAACCGGAAACAAGGGACGGCAGTTGTAGCCAGCTAGACTAAATTGTGCGGTGTATACAGGGTGCACTTGGCCAAAAGTTATGCATGTTCTGTATTGAATTAAGTTAGCCGCACGCACTTGTCATGCTTTGTGCCACCACAAAAACTGCCTCGGATCCACGCTAGTTTACAAGTACATGTTGTGTCGAACAGGCTCTGGGCCAAAGCGTGGTATTGGTACAACGGTCTGCCAGGTCGGATAGAGGATCTAGTCGTCATGTCAAGCAAAGTCGAGTCTAGCTGGAACTCCAAGCCCCAGCTCTCGTAACTCATTGCTTGCTTCCACTCAAGTCCGCCCTCTTGGCAAATCGTGGTACTCTTTCCTAGCTACTAGGATTCCGTTCCTAGGTACGGCAAAGCAAGCGCGGTGGCTGAGTATTGGGGAGGACATAAATGTATCAGCCAAGGCACACCTCAGGAGACACTTACCTTTATCATTCATCCAAGCTTCTTGAATTTCTTCCTTCGTGTGCTCCGACACTAAAGTGTACTCGGCGGTTCAAACTCGTAGGGATGAGTGTCATCTTCTGTTTCAGAGTCCTTCAGCAGTGACTTCGTGACTCCCCTTGACCGACGATGCCGGTGCACGTGGCTCTTTATGTACTTGCCGCTCCGAGGAGGAGGAGGCTTCGTGACAGTGCCGTCGTTCTTGTGTAAACTTACTTTCACGAATCCGAAAGCATTGCTGTCGTCTTTCAGATCCTTATCATCAATTGAAAAGTACGACGATTCACTCGACACAGATTCTGACGATGAGGTCCGTGTGGAGATGTTGTTGGGCACGGAACAATAATCAGCCAGGCTGATTTTCTTGGGTGAAGGTTGCACAGGCTTCGATTTCTTGCGTCTGGAATTGTCGCTACAAGTGGTTGGTGACGACAATGCACCGGGGGCAGTTTGATGCGAGGCCATGGTATAGGTGGACGGAGAAGAGAAGGCATGAAAGGACGGTGATGGGTTTGTCATAAATTCCTCTTCCTCCGACATCTGCTCGGCTTCTGACATGGGCTCAACTTCAGTTGTTGGGACATAGTACAACGTCGGGTCGTCTTGACAATCCTGCCCAACTTCCTTCGGTCGTTTGCAGGCGTACAATTTGGCCGCTGCCGCCGCCATGGCTTGTTTACGGGCTTCCCTCTTGTTTGTGACAATGCCATCAAGAAACATAAATTGGTCTCCACCACATCCCATCCCATCCTCCTTGAGCGATGAATGGGCACACCCTGCCGGTATATTATCTTTGAGGTTCGATGAAGGACGACACGACACCAAAGACGATATAACATGACAGCCTGGTTCTTCTCCTGTTGCACTTGTGAGAATGACTTCGTAGGTATCGCGATCAGTCTCACTACCGGTGCTGGTATGGCTCAAGGGGCTGTCGGGTCTTCCTGATGTGGTGGAGCCCCCACAATCAAGATCCTCACGATGGCATTCAGCCACAATGTCATCGGGATGGCAGTCCACTAAAGCAGACGGCGTAAGCTCAATGTTGCACGGTGGTGTGATTTCACATTCCGAGATTTGGTCTATAGTACTTGACCAAAGATCAGCATAGAACTCGTACCCTTCACAATTGTTGCTTCCTCTTGCTCGCTTCTTGTTGATCGGACGTTGCCGTCGTCTTGCATTCGAAGGGCGAATGCGACAAAACATTGGCAACTCTTCGTCGTCGTCGTTTTCATTGGAAAAGGTACGAGATGTATTGGAGGTGGGCACAGTATCTTCGGACTTACGGCTCAGTTGTCTTAGCAGAATGGATGCCTTGCTCATGGTGTTCGTCTTGTTGCTGTTCTTGTTGCTGTTCTTGTCAAACTCGTCCTTTGCCTCTTCAGCTTCCTGACATGCTGTCGATGCAGGTTTGGGGCCAGTGGTCTCCGAACTACAACTCTCCGCTGTCGTGGGTTCTGTGGCGACACTGGCCTGACCAACCTTTCTTGTAGTAATTTCCATGGTCGCAATGACATTATGTCCTTTTGGAAATGGTGGTGTGGGTTGAATGGTATCAAAGTCGTCCGTCTCTTCGTCGTCCTCGTCATCCTCGTCTCCTTCCTCCACATGAATGGTCCATGAATCTCGAACACTTGTTTTCTCTGCGGCTTGCTTCACCATCCGCAGTGCCCTCCACCAGTTTTGCAGTTGAACAATGGAAGTATACGCGGTAATAGAGTTCTTGATGGCATCCTTGTCTTCCTGTGTGGCGTGGAATGTACCCTGGTGAGGATTCGAGTCATCAGCTGCTATGTGCACTCCAGCACCGCCCGACGCCACCATGCTGTTGTATTGAATAGACTCTGTGGAGATCAACCGCAAGGAGGGTTGTTTTCTATTCCAAGTGGAACTCCAAGAGGATAAGGATGATATACATGACATGGCTTCTGTATCCTTTTGTTCAATGAGTTGCGATACGGAGTGGTTGTTGATGGGTACCGTTCGCATGGAGGAGAATATCGTAAGGTATCTCCTCCGACAGCGAACCATTCGGAACCAGCTTTGCAACACGACGGCCGCCAGTAGTCGCATCCGCACTTCAATGACCGCCTTGACTTGATTGCCAAACCGTTTCACAGCTCTACGGTGGACCTTACTTCCTGTATAAGCGCCAGCAAGCTTGCTTGACCGTCTGCTCTTTTTCACACCTTTGCCCTTGTTGGTATTGATTTCCTTTTGGATTGGGGCACAATCTTGTTGTGTGGACTGTTCATTGGTGTTTGCAGCATTATCATTGTAATGACTCTTTTCTTGGTCTGATGATTGATCCTGTTGGCGAATACAACTCCCGTCGCTGCTAGCCGTATGGCTCATGCTTTCCGAGAGAGAGGGACCATCCCCTCTGACAACTCTGGCTAGGGTATCCATGCCTCGTCCAGTGAGGATACTTCTGACTAATATCCCTCTGGTTCTGCTTTGGATTCTAGCTGCGGCCAAGTACACCTTTTTGTTGGCTTTTCTTTGCCAATAGCCTCTAACGTGCGCTTGAATGGTCTTGGCGGAGAGGTTTCGCCTCCGTTGGATCCACCATCTCCACAGAGGTGCAGCTATCAGCTTGTGTATTGCGTAAGTTGCTAGACAAGATACTACCAGCATCAGTGCAAGCAGCAAGTACGTTGCCATTGCTTCGATATCTTTCTCCGTCTGACCAACATTGTCAAGTGCATTCCCTGAATAGGAGAAGTTGACTAATAGTTGAGTATTCCAGTACCTCAGTACATGAACTAGATATTCATGACTTGATCCAAGCAAGTATGTCTGCAGCAACTTGTTGTGTGCCAACAGCAGCGCAGACTGTAGGTGGACCTTCAGCGTTCCAAATCCCATGGTGCTTTGCTCGACGCCACGAAGAAAGGGTCAGAGAAGAGAGGTAGAAAGGTCACTCGTCCTTGGCTGCTGAGGTTACTGCTGTTCCTTCCTCACCGCCGCTGTCTGGACATGCTGTGGTTCACTATCCAGGTTCTTCCACACTCTCCTAGCTAGATATGCCTGCAAGTAAGTCAAGAGCTCTACGGTATCTCAACAATAATAACGCAGCCGTTGTCTGTTCGATGATGACAAACTCTCTTCACAAAAAGCGAAAAATACCGCCCACACGTTACGGCCAGTATCCGCACTGTACTGTTATGCTATAGAGTCCGCTAATTAAGAACCACGAGCTATGTAACCAAAATTCTAATCGCTGCTCTAAACTTTGGCGACCTCTGAGCTTAAGTATCTTTCGATGGATGTCACCTCATTTAGATGCTTTTCTAGATACTTAGACGTCACGAAGTTGCGCTCCCACAATTTACTAGCGGGTGGCGCATCCTTGGGCGAAGGACCACGGTGCAGGCCGTCCAACACGAGAAATATGCCGGTTTCGGAACCAACTTCCAAGCAACCACAAGCTTATTGTGAGGATGCAGGGTCCGCACACACTTGCATGTCTTGTCAGTAAGCGCGTGACGTCAAGACAGCACCTTGGACGCTGCCGATTATACATTTTGATGAAAGAATGAACTTCGTCCATTACAATGTTTGATGCCAAGGATTACCTGTCTCGTTTCAAGTCCATGGTGGATCAACTGCAGACTCGTAAGGATGTGACTGTGTCAAAGTTTGAGATTCGGCCACCTGCCACCAAAGACAACGTTGACTCTGCCAAGCGATATCTTGAGGAACACCAATACCCTGGCAGCTTTTTGAGCGACGACATTCTTGCTTTCTACCGGGCTGCCAATGGATTTAAACTAGAGTGGACTTTTACTGGCCCTCTAGAAAGGCTTCATCAAGGTACCTCGGAGAAAATGGATGTTTCCAGTGGGAGTGTCTATGGAAGCATTGATATCTGCCCTATCCAAAAAGTCTTTGACAACGAAATGGCCTTGACTTGTGACTATGGTGACGATCATCGCTACAGACCATTGCATTGCTTGGATGCATTCATACCAGAAGCCTGTGCTGCTTTCTATTTCGAAAGCAGCAAGAAGAGTCCCGGCGACACCACCATCAACACCAACAGCAGCAGCAATGCCAACAACCTGATGGTCTACTACCATTTCTGGGGCGAAAGCTTGGGGCGAATGGAACTGGATTTTGTGGGGTATCTCGAGAAACTGTTGAAAGCAAAAGGATTTGGATACTGGCAACGTGCCATTGCCGCCGACGAAGAAAAATCATTCAATCCACAGAATCCAATCAGTTCTGAGGAACGACGCTTTCGGCATGTCATGCCTATATTGTTCCAAGATGATTACAATGACAAGGACTTTCTTCGTGTCGACAGATGTCGTCTGAAGCATCTTTCTATAAAAGATTATCCAACCAATGCACACGACAAAGATCCTCCTGCTTTTATTCCACGCAAGTATGAGGATGGTCCCATTACTCTAGAGTCTCACCAACGAAAAAAGGCAGCATTACAGGTGTTGGCAGCATCCAGAAGAAGGCACCAACAATCTTCTAGCAGTGATGATGATGACGATGATGACGATGATGACGACGAAGGCAAAGATACTCCTCCGTGGAAACGGAAAAAGCAGGTATAGCTGAATTGTGTGCTTACTCACTTGCTTACTTTTTAGAAAGGCAAAAGAGGCAAACAAAGTCTGAATAAGCCAAAGTATGGTCTATGCATGCATGCATTTTTTTGCATTCAAACGGACTAGTAATCGGCAATGAAAGGCCAGACCCAATTCTCCTCTTCGTTGTAGACGGCCTTGATTAGTGTCATTCCACTTGCCTCCAATGTATTCCAAAACAAATCATGTGATGCTTGCACATCTTCCAATCTCAAACTGCCTGAAATGTCCACAAACAAGGCCACAGCTGTCACTCCCAATGCACCAAGATGGTCCATGTTACATTTGTGAAACCAGTTATTCGTAGCAGACTCGTCACCATAATCACGATCCACCTTGGAGAATATGGCGTGACTATCATTCAAGAATACAGGAGGAATCATCAGGGTGCTTTTTTGAAAGTCACGAGGCTGTAATAGGCAAAATGGTCGTTCCGGATAGAGTCGTCGAAATTCTGTCCAGCTGCTGGCGATAGTTTCGTTGTAGACCATGGGTGCGTCCACGGCTTCGTCGATAACGGATACACAAGCAATCAATTGTTGATTGAGACTGCTATTGGAGACGTTTGGAGAGCTCGACATCATTGTTGGATGGATGGATGGGGCAGTGCTGTCACTTGGGCTTGAACTTGGCCCCTTACTCGGACCAGTAGTTGGCACTTCAGAGGGCAAACTAGATGGGGCAGTGCTCGGTGATTCAGAGGGGCTGCCACTGGGCAGTGCAGTTGGACTTGGGCTAGGAGACATACTACTGGGTGATCCAGAGGGGCTGCCACTGGGCTGTGCAGTTGGACGTAAGCTAGGAGAGGCACTGGGCTTTGCTGTTGGAGAAGAGCTTGGAGACGCACTTGGAGCCAAACTGGGACCTGTTGTAGGAGCTCCTGTAGGGCTGAAACTAGGAGAAGAGCTTGGAGAAACACTTGGGGCCAAACTGGGACCAGCTGTAGGAGCTCCTGTGGGGCTGAAACTAGGAGAAGAGCTGGGAAGTCTGGTGGGCCCATTTGACGGTGATCCAGAGGGGGCTAAGGAAGGCGTTGTCGTTGGAGTTTCAGAAGGGAAGATAGAAGGGCTGAAGGTTGGAAACTGGGAAGGTGCTCTTGAGAGATCCCATTCATGCGACTCGCTTGGCATACTGGAAGGAACCCAGTTGTGAGTCTCGCTTGGGCTACTGGAAGCAGCCCAGTTGTGCGTTTTGCCTGGGCTACTGGAAGGCGCCTCACTTGGATGCCAGTTTTCCGATTTTGTGGGTTCTACGACAGGTGAACCAGGCCTTTGAGAGCTCCTCATGATCTTGCTGTGGATCTATAGTTTCAGCCGGACACACCCGATAGAGTGAGATACTGAAGGAAGTGGCAATCACGTTACTTGAACCACGTTTACTCACTCACCTTTACTTTGGACTTGGTTTTCTTCTTGTCTACTTTTCTTTTCCCAGACTTTGTTCCCTTTACACTAGTTTTCTGGCTCTTGCGTTTCGCCTCTTTCTTCATTGAATTATTCTCTTGCATATCATTTTCTTTCACTTTAGGCGCGGTCGGATTTGTACCACTTTTCTTGGACTTGCCCATGGCAACTTTGCTCATGGGAGTCTTGGATCTTGATGCCATCTGGCCGACGTGTGCCTTCTCTTCTGCATCAAACACTGTAGCGTTGGCTTTGCTGCGGGATGAGATGTCCTCTTTCGAAGATGACGGACTGTCAGACTTCGTAAGTTTGTCTTGGTTATCAGTATTGTTCGTCGCCACAGAGTAAACCTCGATAATGGCTGCGTGTTGAGGTTCTTCAACTTTGGATGAGCTCCTTGCACTTTCCTTCCTCGATTCTACCTTGCCTCTTTCGACGTTCCTGCCCTGACTGCTTTTACTGCTCATCTTCTTCATTGCCATGGCCATCATGCCTTTGAGCTGTCTAGTATGCAGTATTGCCTCATGACCTCTCAGGCTTCTGGGGATTGCCATGACAGAGAAGCTCAAGGCTAGCACCAGAATGAATCGGTAATGGAGGAGAGTCTTCATGGAATCGAATCAATCACAACAGTTGTCTTTCTTATTATTTACAGTGATCCTCTATCGTTCCATGAACCAACCATTTGCACTCGTTGTGCGAAGACATGATTGATAGGTTGAGCGACGACGAGACGATGGCGTGAAGCAAGCTCACAAAGGTCTCTCCCTTCCGCTCGATCGGTAGGGTCTTGTCATTTGATTGATTGATCCACGACGTGAAAATGTGATCGTGGACTTTGGCGTGGAAAGCAGTAACGGTGCGTTGGCCTCTGCGTGTTTGAAGAGCTACAATATGCCGCCAGCTGCATGGCTTGTACATGATAAGGCCTGTGGATGATGGATTGTTTGAAGCAGACACCATGGAGAAGATTGTCGGCATTGGGCACCACGGCAAGCAAGTCTTTCGGTCCTCGGTCTACTAGCGTACAAGCAGCGCTGGCTGCCTCCACCAACGCTGGCACCGAAGCAATTGATGGAATGATTGAATGATACAGATCGTTCACCACTCTTTCCTTGCGCACCTCACCAGTCATCCTTGAAGCTTCATGCTGGGGTTGGCTACTGGTATGGTGTCGAACATCATGACAGTTTGTTTGACATGACAAATCAGAGAGAAGAGGGCTGAGCTGAGCTTACGGTACGCGGTACGGCACTACCGTACCGGTAGTAGAGAGACGAATGCCTTGACGAGTCTAGTTTAGAAGTTGTTCCGAATTTGTTACTCTCCAACAATGACTGGCTGGTACTACTTCTATCGGTGCAGATACCGGTAGCGGTAAACCCCAATATTGATGATCGCCCCCAAACCAAGAAGCCTTGTTTACATGCAAGGTTGCTTCGGCTGCCCCGTGAAAACTGTAGCTCTAGCTAGCTAGTAGAGCTAGCAGACTAAGTAAATCTAGGAGATAGGAATCCAAACTGTGTTTGCTGTTTCATCACCTCTTGAAACAAAGATGTTTGCCTTGTTGGCTAATTTTGGTGCGTCGACAAGAGCAGCACACAATGTCGCGTCGTCGACCAAGTGTAAACAGTAAACAGAAGAAGCCAAGAACAGGAGTGAACCCGCCTGGACCATAATATCATACTGGACACAGATCTAGCTAAGCTAGCTACTAGGCGTCATCAAAGCAGCTGTGTGTTCTTTCAGTCAACCTACATTCTTTGGTTCTCTGGTTACGTTTGGAGCACTTCTGTTTGGACAACGATGGATGGTCTTGTTTGTCAAGGCGGTCCTGGCTTCCTGTTGGAGGGGAAGCTTGTCCTTGAAGGACAAAGCGGGCCGTTCGTGTTTGATTTCTTTCGCTATTGATTCCCAGTTTGAATCATGGTTGCATCTTCCGAAACGCTAACAAACTTTTTACACAGTTTGCTTTCTAAGCAGTAAGCCCTGTCAAATCCATCCACCTCAAAGTGGCACTCTGAGTGACTGCATAGCGATTGATTCTAGAAAATTGTATGAGAACCCAAAAACTTCTGTGTGACTTTTTGCACCTCTTATTTAAGGATGTATGGTTGCCACACCCCGTATCGAACTGGCAAGGGTCATGTACCGTTACTAGCATTTCTATTTACTAGTACGATAACTACAGCTATGGTAAAACCAGTGGATACTGGCTAACCAAACACAGCTGCATGCATCGCCAACTCAGACGCCCCGATGATATGCATCAAGAGGGACGCTTTTTAAGCTCACCGATCGATTGTCTTGGCGTGAAGGTAGAAATCACGGGGAATGATCGGGGAGAAGAGCCATACAATTTGGTTCATTCCTAGCCTTGGCATTATTGGCTGGTCAAGCGAAGCCACACGGTTCGCTCCAAGCCGCCAAAAGCCAAAAGGTATTGGCTTTGACACTCTCAATCCAATCTCTCCATTCCTCAGTCAAGTGCCGAGGTGTATACCCCAGATACTCTACCACCACCTCCAACAAACCTACAACTCTTAAAAGAAGATGGCCTCCACTAGTCTCATAGTTTCACCAGGGCTTCTTCCCACGGATTGGATGCACATGCCTGATACTGCTGATTGGATGCAAGAAAACTTTGTCGAAGAAATGAACGTACCAAAAGAGTTTTCAAACGGTTGCAACAGCGCTGATGCCACAAGGAAGAGTGATCTGGAGTCAGTGGCATCGCCAAGGTCCACTCTGATCATTCAGTCAAACCAGAAGCCAGTTGTCTTACCTGAACCTGTCTCAAGCTGTGTACCACCTGTGGACGCACCACCGCAAGCCCCAGTGCACTTGAAGGACATGACCAAGACAACCACAATGATGTCATTCACAAGGTTCAAAAGCAAAAGGCCAAAGGTCAAAAAGTGCAATTCCTACTCTTATCCCTCTGTTCGGGCATCCTTTTCTCACTTCACTGGTGATACGGATACCTGCACGGATGGTCTCAATGCCTCGTCCAGTTCGGTCACCACACCTCATGCGTCTCGCAGTATGCCAAGACCCCGTCGCTGCAACTCCTTTCCCACGGTTGTGTCTCCTTATTGGCTGGAAGAGCAAAGACTTCAACAACGAAGATCCAAGTGTGAAGACAGCGTCCGACAACTATATGAAGAACGGAAGGAAAACATTGTGGAAATATTCCAGAATCAGTGGCTCATCAGTGATGACCTCGATGAGTATGAGTATGGCGATGATGAGCAACAAGATTGATCATTCTATCATCTCACCATCTGATCAACCGACAGCAGCCATGGTTGACTGCCGTACTCAAGTCAACCTGCACTTGGAAAAGAGTTGTTTCTTCCATGCCTCCAAGGCGTGACCAAAAGCTATAAGGAGGGCCGGATGCCCGGTATATTTATACTGGTCACGTACAAACGCCAACAAGCTACCAAAACCTGGTAGCAGAGCCCACAGTGTAGAAATAGATAGTAACAGTGCTGTACCGTATACTTGGAACATGTTAAAATGGAAGATTCAAAGTAAATAGACACCCCATTTTGTTGACCCTGTTCTGAGTGACAGTCTTCGTTTCAACGGCATTATGAAAGCCCCGTTAACAGACGGGTACGGAGTCCACTCGACCCATTCACTGGAGGTCAAGCAAATGCTTTGACACTCGAATAGTCATCGTTTGCTTCGTTCGGCCAGCATGCAGCCTCCCAACATCTTGGCAAACTCCAGTCCATGCATGGTGCTTAGAGATCAACCCTATGAAGCAGTTGACTGCCTTTGCACGGCTTCCTGCACTCTTGGACTTCTTTGGACAGTATCATCTGCCCGTCATCGAAACACCCTTGCCCACGACGACAGTTGCTGCATCTGATGTAGGGATGATCTCTCGTCTTTCCTTTCCTCGTCAATATTGATTGGGATGGAGTGGCAATAATAAAGCCCGGCCAGCACTTGCAAATCTGGAGAGAAGTCTCTCATTTTTACTACAACATGATACTACTATTTCTTTCTATTGTGATGATTGATGTGTACACGTGCCAATGATGTCCTTCAGAGTACTGTACTCATTCAGAAGCATTCAAGTGTCGTTTGTGTTGTGTTGCGTTGTGTGCATATGGGTGAGGACGCGGATGTATATAGAAGCTCCACGCTCACACAATCAAGAGTTGATTGATCAATTCAGATTCGAGTCGAGTCGAGTCGAGTCGAGTCATCGAAGACATGCAGCCAGCATTTTGCACACTGAGCAGAACCAGTGGCTTGATTGATTGCTGTATATGGCGCTTGTCGTGTATTCTGAAGATTTAGGTGAAAACAAAAAGGGGGTGATGAAAGATAGATGATGATCGAGACGGGACGCAACTCGATCGATTCCGATTGGAAGCAACGTTGCTTGCTCAAAAGGTCTCCTTGCTAAAGTAGAAATGAAAGTCCTTGCCAGACAGTTTGGTGGCAGACTCGTCCACAGCGGAAGCCAGTCCATGATTTCCACAGACAAAGACACCGCACTTGCCGCATCCCAGACTCATGGCTTCCTGCTGGACGCTCTTGAGCTCTTGATCCCACTTGGGACGTCCCACTTCGACTTGATGATGCGTTTGCTGGCCCAAGATGAGATCAAAGTCGCATCGATGATTGGGGGCGCGGGTGGCATGATGGAGCAAGACTTTGTCCAAGCTGCGGTCGTCATTCTTGATGGACGTGAGGAAATGACGGGTTTGCAACACATGACGCGGATCATCATGAAGGTAGATTTCGTCCATGAGCGCCGTGAACATTTCCAAGTTGGAGGGATCACGGGTGCTCCAGTAGAAAAAGACACGACGCATCTTTCCCGGATTGACCAGGAGCTCCTTCAAAACGCAGATCATGGCTGGTGACGTGCAGTGCAAAAGAAAACAGAGGCAAGCAAAGATGTGAGTATGTGTATGTGTGTACAACATGAGGTATCGAGCACAGCTGTAGAAGCAGCCTCGATCGTCCGTGACGAACATGTATGTACTCACGAGTCACTCCAATGCCTCCACCAATCAAAACGACGACCGGATACTCTTTGAATCCTTGCGCAGATGCTCCCATGGGTCCTTCCACCTTGACGACCATGTCCGTAATGCCAGTAGGAATGGCAGGCATGACTGGCACAAGTGTTGGCTGATCCGAAGTGTCGTTGGCAGGAGGCTGTCCATTGGTACGGATTGCCACCACATCGCCGTTTTCCAGTTCAAATCCTTCCTCAACCTTTTCTTCGTGGTCGCGGGGACGAGAATCTTCCAGATTGGTCAAGGACGACGACGTTTCCGTGGATTCATTATTGTTAATGGCGGCTTGGAGGTGAATCTCTCGGACATGAGCTTGCAATTTGGAGGTCCAATCTCCGGAACTTTTCTGATGAAACTCGAGAAAGGGATCAGACGGTTTGGACGTGAGAGTAAAGGGATGCCATTCGTAGGAACTAATGGCGGGGACTTTGACAAAAGCGTACATGCCGGCCCGTAGCCGTTCGTTCCAACTGACTGGCTTTTGGAGACGGAGCATCAAGACATCGCCACCCGACTTGAGCTGTGCATCCAAGACGTGAACGTTGGAAAGAGGCGTCTCTCGCCAAATGCGAGACCCAATGTAGAGGAGGAATGGCAGTCCGACCCAAAAGACACTTTGGTAGTGCTCGAGTAGGTTGGCCGTTCCATGAATGCACAAGAGGAGTAGCATGAGAATGAGGAGGTGATGAGTGTTCCAAAAGACATTGAAACGAGGTTTGCGGACTTGTGTCCCGCGGACGATTTTGGGTTTTCGGACTTGGGTCATGGGATAAGCGACGAGACAGCAGAGGACCATGAGAATCCCCGTGACACCAGCGCGTGTTTGGAAGAGTGCCATGATCCATCGGCCTGAAGGATCCTTTTGAGCAAATCCCGCCATCTCGGGGTTGTCTCCCACCAGCGCCATGATATCGTCTTCATCCGCATTTGAAAGACGGGAGAAATCGCAAATGTGTGCCCCGACGTGCATTGTAGTCCAAAAGGCAATGGCGACTCCAATGAGAATGTGGATGCGTTCGAGGTCATCAAAGGGAACGTAGTGACGCAACTTGGTTTGTCGGAGTCGTGTCATGACATGTCGAAGCATGGGGATCAAGATCAAGGCGCAGTTGAGGTTGAGACACTGCGCGGCTCCTCGTGCGACGACAATGCATCCTCCCATGATTTCCGTGGCGTCGTCTCGATGAACAGCGTACTTGTATGCCTTGGTACCAAAGGCGGCAATCGTGGCGAGGACGTAGAGCGCCAGCCAAATGTTCTTGACCTTGTGGTTCTTCCAATGCGTCTTCCATGTCTGTTCGTTCTCTTGTTCTTGGGCGGCTTGCTCGGCGGGAGTCAATGTGCGAATGACAGTAGTAGCTTCTTCTGGTCGTGTAGGCTTGGCGTTGGTATTGCAGTTGTCGTCCAGCTTGTCCTTGAAGATGCGGTAAAGGTCGGGGTTGTTTTCAAACATGACACTGAACTGGTCAAACGTCAAACCTTGCGGAGGGTCTTGATCGGAGGGCACGGCATCTTGCATGAGAGCGTCGACAGCCGCATCGAGGAACTGATGGTTGTTGAGCGTTTTGCACTCTTTCTGCATTTCATCGCGGAGCTGATCACGCGTCACAAGACCGGTGGCATCCGACCATTGGCCGTGGAGCAGATTGAGAGTGGCGACACGAATGGTCTCCATCAATGCCGACTGACAATCCGAATAGTGGGACTCGGAAGAATCACCGCCGCCGCCACTAGCAAAAGGACCACGCGAGTGGCCGCTGCTGCTCGTGAGACGGTCGCGCACCGAAAAGCACTGCGACGACAAGGCGTCGCGAGGACTACTACTAGAAGACGGACCGATGGTGGTCGACACGTTGGTAAAGTTCATGGACGCCATGGCCTCGGCCCAAAAGATCGCACTGGCGTTCTTGGCATCCTCTTCTTCCGCCAACAACAGATCCTCAATGCCATGGTCACCACGATCGCGCGCATCAAAAAAAGAAGACGAGTTACTTCCGTCTTGCTCCACTGGGGTCTCCCTCTGGAACGGAACGCTCATGTTCACGCCACGAAAGGAAAAGCTCATGGTATGGTAGATAGATAGATAGATAGATGATGGCAATACAATACAATACTATAGCAACAACAACAACCTCCAGCACAAGTAAAGGTGACTTGTGAAGTGGTCTTTTCCAATTTTATGAAACATATTGTGGCTGTGTTGGAAATGGTTTGTGCCCACACTCGGATCGGAGGACGATACTAGTACGTGCAGGCTCGTATTACGGACTCTTAAACAAGCAGTTCACTTCACTTGGTACGACCGCACGACTTGCACGCCCACCTCGAATTACGCCCTGAAACGAAGACAGCATGAAAACTCAGCTAGATGGGGTAAACCAAAATTCAATAGACCCATTTGAAATTATATTATACAATAGCTTTAACTGTAATCACTACCGGAACTACCTGATCAGAGCTCTCTTCCACCTCCCAGCAAGATGGTTTGGGCACGATCTTTTGGGAGCGTCACACTTTTCACTATTTTGATGCTTAAGTAATAGGAGAAGTGTGACTTGAGTCGAGCTAGATACGGAATGAGCGATTATTTTGAGGTGACTAGAAATCACACATTCCTAAGAAAGGTTTCAGGGAAGACTAGACTAGCCAGATCCTTCAAAGTAAAACGATGTAACGCTGTTTATAACCATCAAGAAATCAGAATGGGACTGAAACTGTCTTTTGCTGGGCGGCGAAGGCAGAACTTTTGATAGAATGCAAGGTGCAGGAGCACATGCTGCACTCTGCCGACTCCCGACGACGGCCTTCGGCAGGAAATACTATGATAGTAGGTCCAGGCAGAGTGATGGCAAACTACATGTACTTGTCTCGCTGTTCAGTAGCAATGATAATAATGGTACTCTGTCTGGCAAAAACTACAAACGTATTGTCTTTCCTGATGGACTCATTGTGCAACCGAGGTGCGTTCCATAGCTACGGTAGGCTGGATCATTGGTTTTCGAGGTGAGAGTGGATTTGATTCTTCCCGTACCACCACTTGATCAACTTCTTCTCCGTGCGTACCGGTATGCCTCGTTCTCAGTTTCATATATGCTCTGAGCAGTCAATTGCTCTTGCCAGCCAGAGGATAGTGTGTGGTCCAGTAATGCTAGGTCTCCGGAGAAGCCAACTGAGCCTGTGTCTCTCTTCCTTCATTTCTTGTCTCTTCCCCGTGATCTAAAATACTTGCTCTGGTTATTAGTCAGTCTACATTGTTTGGGATGCAGCAGTCTTTATGTAGGCGTATGGTACCGGTAGGTACGATGCCTGGTACGATACATACATGATCACCAATTCCAAGACCAAATTTGTTCTAAAGGCTCATTCGGCCACAACGGGTAGTGGCCAGCTCTACTAGCTAACTTCCATCTTGAGGGTCTGTGCGCCTTCCACTTCCGGAACTTGCGGTCCACCTACCTTCATCCGAAGGGCAGCGCATACCGGCTATAGTCTTCACCTTGCTAGCTTGTCTTTTGGCCACCAAAGGCTCCTTGCTAGCTAGGAAGCAGCTACATGTTTTGGCATAGTCGGTGGTACCGTACACCTATCCAGGCATTCGACGAGACAGCAAAAACATCAATAACTTGTAGTTCCTGTTTTTTTAGCTAGTCAAACTAGGAGGTGGCCAAGCAGCCATATTGGTTGGCTGCATGATACTACGATCATGCAAAATGGGAGCTAAGCACTATGGAAGCTTCTCGTTTGAGACAACCATGGAATATAAAGAAGATATTCATTTAGTAGTTTGAAAATGGTACATGTAGTAGTTATTATTAATATTTACAAAGAGTAGGTTAAGAAGTAAGCATATGTGCATTCTCAAATAGCAAAGGTACGGAGGGTGCTGTTGCACCTGTCAGGTAATCATTCATGTTCATTCAATCATTCGTAATCCAATATAAACATGATCAAGAAAGGAAAGGAAAGGAAAAGGGAATCAAATAGGTATACATACAAACTAAGAATCCAACAAAGGTCGTGGTGTAGAAACAATGGTGGAACTGTACAGGGGATGGATGGACCAGAGGTAGAGTGTGTGCTTGGTGGCTTGATTAGCTTTTTGGAAGCTGTGGTAGCACTGGAAATGATGTGTTATTCTTGCGCTGGCTGTTCCTTTGTTCCTGCAAAAGGAGCTTTTCTAGTGAGATAACCCATAGAGGACTTGGAGGACGAGGACGATTGGTGTCAGTGTTAGTAACGACAGACTTGTTCCGGAAGGTAGTATCTTCGTCTTGTTGTTCCTGATCCTCGACAGTGTATCGCATGCGCTTGTTGTTGTTGATGTTGTTGAAGAAGGTATTTGCAGTAGCCCCTGGACTGACGACCTTAATGGTTGGTTTGGGACTGAGTGGAGGAGTGACATCTCCATCTCCCCAACTCGAAGATGAACTGATACTACTAGTAGTAGCATAGGTCTCTACACAGCTGCCTGACACTCGGCGAGGAAAGTAAGACAAGTCTCTTTGTTGGTTTTGTTGTCGTTCTACAAACGGCAAGGGAGGAAGGAAGAGGACACTTGTTGTGTCACTGTCACTACCGGTATCTAGTAGTGGTAGATCTAGATCTAGATCTAGACACCGCTTTCGGCCTGCCGTGGGAGACGCAAACGGAGTCAACTGATGGGTCTCGGTAGGAAGGTAGCTGCTCATGATGTTCCTATTCATATTCATACTAGTGCTATTAATAGCTGTAGATGATGGCTTGGATATGATGTGTGATGGGATAGTTGATGGATTTGTGTAAAAGTCTCCTAAGAGAAGAAAAAGGATCTTGCTGTGAAAGAAGCTTTTAGCTATCGGTAGCTGCTAATCACTGGGTGTTGAATAGTAAACAATCAATGCGCAAATAGACCTCAGATCCTCAAGTGGTTGATGTATGTCAGCCAGACTAAGATCCAACTTGATCGGTCACTACTGCCTCTTACCTACCGCTAACTAATAACAACAAAGATCTCCCTGGCATTCGTTGGTGGCGAAGCAGCGCAATCCAACAGACATCTTAGTAAAGATAAGTACAGTACTGTAGGTGCGTACATTGGGCTACGTAGACACCAAGCGTAGTTGGGTGACTTCAACACTTCAACTTCTTTTTTGAGTTGAAAATTCTGATCTCCCAAAGATACTTCATGCGCACCTCTGATTCTTTGCTTGTGATGTGGCGTTGTCCTACCATACTATAGATGACGTGTTCCAAACTATGTCGTAGTAATAGATCAGGCATAAGTAGAATTCGTAAAACAAGGACATGCCTTCTGATCCTCTAAGTAACAAGACAGACACAGCAACGCACAACACAGACGTCATTGGCTCGCCCATCTTGTCAGTCGACGACAGACCTCAGTGGTGAAAATAGGGTTCAAGTGTATTTGTAGGGTTCAGGTACAAATTAGAGTTCTGGATTACTCAGACATGCTTCAACTATACGGTAGGGTTCAGGATTACTCAGACATGCTCCACCGGCAGCATTTCTCGGCGCAACGCTTTTGGCAATGGCATGGCGGCACCGCACCAACGCCATTGTCCACTCTAACCCATAGTAACCTCTTTCGTAAGAGCTTGCACCAACGCCTCAACTTATCCACTCACACATCACTTAATATATGTACTTGCATTGCATGGCTGGAGTGGGCAAGCTGGGTTGACCGTTGCAGACAGTAGCTAGCTAGCTATTAATTAATAGCCAGTAGGTGGTACCACTATCCGTCCAAAAAGACAGAGAATGCAATACTGTGGACCGCCACACAAGATTTTGCAAGAATCTTTCTAAACCAACCAAATCATCAAAACATTCGTCAATGAACTATCGAATCCATCATCCATGACAGCTTTAAAGCCAGGAACCAACAGCAACGTCAAGCAGGCGGAAGGACTAGAAATTCAACTGCAAGACATTGTCACATGGAAGGACAGTGGAATGCCCAGGGCCAACTATGACGTTGCAGCTAAAGTCAGTACTGGTAGTGATGATGGAATCAATGGCGATGGAATCATCAGTGAAGGACAAGAAGTGGATGTGGAATCCTTCTGGATTGGTTATCGCAGCAGTGCTAGTAGTTTGGAGGAGGAAGACAGCCACCATCATCTGGAAGCAGTGCTCTCTAGTGAAGGACAAGAAATGGATCTGGATGACTTTGCAGACAACAACAACAACAACAACCAACAAAACAACAAGGAAAAGACTTCCTTCTACTTTTCTGGACTCAACCTTCTGACCATGCTCTCTAGTGAGGGACAAGAAATGGGTCTGGAATCATTCGCAAACAGCTTTGCCAATAGAGAAAACCGTAACAAAGGAGGTGGATGCCGTGGCACGGATCCAAAAAGCAAGCCCACGTTTTTAGAACTTCCTCGTCGTCGCTCTGAGCGCATGGTGGAGACTGTGCTCGCCAGTGAAGGCCAAGAAGTGGACCTGGAATCATTCAGCAGAAACAGTGGAGACAGCAACGATTGGTCTGCCAATCATAACAACAACAACAACAAGAGGTTTGCTGTACTGGAACCGGTAGTCTCGAGTGAAGGCCAAGAAATAGACTTTGAGGCGTTCAAGGACCAAACCAACAACGACAGTGTCTGCAACAACACTGACGCTACCACTTTGGTCAGCAGCATTAGCTGTACTGGAAGTGACACATTTGCTACCAGCACTGGTCATAGCATCACGGGCAGTGGCTTTGGGACATTTACATACACTAGTACCGCTGGAAGCAGTGGAATCCTCCTCGACGAAACAACAGGTCACGAGGCAAGCAGCAGTGTGCCACTGTCGATCACTTGGTCGGAAAGCAAGTCTCTCAAGAAGAGTTACCATGCAGGCAAGACAGGCAGCAGCAACAGCAACAGCACCAAGAACATTCGTAATACCCACAGCACTGACATTATTGGAACCAAGCCAACGTTCCCAGAGGCGCTCTACTGCTCCGAAACCAAGATTCTCATGAAGCACCCCATGGTAGGACCCGACGGATACTCGATCGACAAATCAGTCATCTGCTCAAGAGCAGCAAACAAGAACTGCCGGTACTATCCAAACAGGGCTCTGCAAGACTACATGGAACAAGATTGCGTGGAACAAAAATTTCGACGAAAAGGGTCCGGTGGTCTCGTCATTAGTGAGAGGCAGCGCTCCATTTCGAAAGCCTATCGTTCCTTTCCCGACGTATTCTATTGCCCCATCAGTTTGCAACTGATTCGATATCCAAAGATTGATCCTGACGGGATCACCTATGAAGCCGACGCCATTGAGCAATGGGTCAAAGCCAACGGTGATAGTCCAGTGACAGGAAGAGCATTGACGTTGGATGAGTTGTACGCAAACAATGCACTCAAACAACTGATGCTGGAAGAAATCATGCCAGATGATTGTTCCCAAGTGCACCCGTCCATTCGACAGTGGAAACAGCAGCGACAACAACAACAACGACGCCATCCAACGGTAACGTTTGACGTGGAGTCCACCAAGAAGCATCAGGCATCCACCATTGACACCAACCATATTGACGGCATTGCAGCGCGTCGCAGCGCTCGCCATGCGGCACGAAAACGAAGATCATCATCCAGTCGCCGACAAGCTGCCTGCACCATCAGCACAAAGATCGACTTGTCCTTTTGCAACGTTGCAACAAGAATGGAACTCTGCGCCAAGCCAGAGGACGTTGCTCCTCCTCAATTTGGTTCTCCAGATGCCAGCAGCACCCGCCGTAAACCAAACCGTTCTTCTCGTTCTTTCTCCTCCTCCATTTTCCCCATCTTCCGACCCCTCCTATCTCTTATGTAGTGTCTCCCCTCCCACTTCCCTTGTTTGTTGACAGCCAGACGAGCACCGATCCAGAGTTGCTTGGGCTGGTTGCTCAAGAATCAAATCGAACGATTGTCGTCGCCCTCAATCCATACATGTACTAGTTTCAAAATGAGTGGTCTTGCTGACCACTGCATGCAGCCAGCGATGTGCCGGGGCAACAGAGGCCCAGCCAGTGCTACCGGTACATTGCACTCTCGTATCTGTATGTTAATGATTTAGTTTTCTTTTTGTAGTAGATGCAATTGACTGTGACCCGCTCAAGCTGGGTACCACGACAACAGAGGGATCGTGGAAAACGTACCGTGGATGATTCCGTGGAAGTTTCCAGGAGTTTCACAGACAGGACGACCAAGCTAATCTTGAACCCACCATTCGCTTGCCATCTGTTGCCCTCGCCAGATGCTGAGGGCCGCTTGTCGCTCATTGAAAGAGATGAAGAGCAGAATCTGCGAATCTATTGGACAGGCAGCGATAGCGGTGCAGAGCCCATCAGCGGAAACAACGACGGCGGCCTTGACTCCAGTCAAGGGTACAAAAACTGTATCATTTATTATTAGATTGAATCATTCTGTAGTCACCATCAATTATGGTCGTTAGCTCTGAACGTGACTATACCGTGTCGGCCTCTTTTATGAATGCATGCATTCAGTTCTCCTGTGATCCTTAGAGGAATGGGACCCTTTCGTGCATCGGCAACGTTGTGTCATCGTGTGTTGTTACCTTGTGGTGTAGATGCGAGACACCCAAGAAACCGGCTGATTTCAGCGCTGCATCCACCACTGGCTCAAAACGCTCTTCCATGGCATCAAGAGGTGGCTTGCAGTAGTCCGAGTCAATGAGCCCAATGCGCTTGGCAGCCCATTTGCAAGCAATCGGGTTGCTTTCCACAAACAAAGCCTTGTGCAAGTCCGCCAGACGATCGTTCAGCGTATTAGCTTCCTTGACATCGCCATCGAGTGCGGCCCAAACCATCTCGGTCATCATGTGCGGCACAATGTTTGCCGTCACCTGTATCATGTTGAATCATTGAAGCAAAAGGAAGTGCCCATTAGTCGCGAGTTCTGCTGCCGCACCTCTGCAACGGTCACACCATTGAAGTTGAAAGGTACAGTACCGGTACTCACCGATATGCATCCATCACCGCCCTGCAGGAGAAAGTCTTTTGTAGTCCCGTCGTCACCACTGTAAGAGAGAAATTTGTCGGCATCGAGTCCCTCGGCTCTTATTGCCGCCTTGACAGAATGAAGACGAGACAAGTCCCCCGTCGCGTCCTTGATGCCAACAATGTTTTCATGTCCCGCCAGAGTTGCAATGGTTTCATCCGTCATACTACAGGCAGTTCGTCCTGGAACATTGTACATGATGACGGGCAAGCCCATGTTGGCCACCTTGGTAAAGTGTTTGATGATACCTCTCATGGGTGGTTTGACATAGTAGGGAGTAACCAGCAAGTTTGCGTCAGCCCCCATGTCTATTGCTTGCTGCGTCATTTCCTTGACTGATTCAGGGTTGATGGTACCAGTGCCAACCAAGAGCGGGATTCTCCCCTTGCAATGCTTGACGACCGTATTCAGGACAACGGCGCGGTCTTCCATGTCCATGACGGCAGCTTCTGCCGTGGTTCCCAAAATGCACAGGTTGTCCGTTCCTCCATCCAAGTGCCACTGAATCAACTTTTCTAGATTTGGGATATCAATTCTTCCCCATTCAGTAAAGGGCGTGATGAGGGCACAGGTAGATCCCTTTCGGAGGGGCATCTGTACATCATGGAATCCACGATGAGCAAAAGCTGGGATAAGCAAACTTCGGGCGGAGGACAAGGTTCCTCTCATGAGCAACACGTACCATCACATCGGCATTGGTTCCTGCGTTGAGCGAAACCTTTGCTCTCGCTGCATTTGGGCGGGGGACAAATCCTCCCACCAGCGCAATGCTGACGGGAAGAAGAATACACAACGAAAGTTTCATGGCTTTTTCAATTTCCTTTTTCTTCAAGTGGTCGTGGGATTGCGTTCTGCTTCTTTAGAATCCTTTTTTGTGACCTGAACGACCCCCAGCAAACGGATGGGGCTCGGCTCTGGATCGAAAGCGATCCGACCTTGGATCTTGTATTTTCAAACAGCGGACGCTTCGCTTGTTGCGCAGAGGCTTGGGGTTCCAATTGAAAGCGTGGAGTGGATCCAGAAGTTTGATCCGATGGGAACTCCTGCACGCCAGTCAATCATTCAACCTCCATCCCTAATACGGAAAGCTCCGGTACTGTACCAAGAAGGTGAGGCAAAACGGCATTGGTTTTACCCAGCGAAACATCACCAGTGTCATCCTGGACAAATGATGCGTGATGTGGTTGTGATCAAATGTCTTCCTGTTGCTGCAGCTACCAGTACTATCTAGCTTTCCATAGTGGCGAATGATGTGGAACAGCAACAGGTGAAGAAAGTGCCGGGGTTGTTCATTTATTATTCACATAAAATTTCTCCCCTCTTTTCTTGTTGAGAAACGATGAACTGCAGCAAAGGAGAAGGGCACTCAGCCACGAAACATGGTGCAACGATGAAGAAGGCGGTTGCAACGACGAAACGCACCATGAAAGAAGAAGAAGCTGCAAATACCAACCAGCCACTGCTAACCTTTCGTTCTCCTTTGGATCCCAGTAGCGAGTACCATGTCGTGTGGGCCCAGAAATCTCTTTGGAAGCGTCGTCTCGAAAGCATGCAACAGCGATACCCCAGCGACCGGTCTTTGAAGTGCTGGGATTCCTGTAGCGACTCTTCTGACAGCGACCAAGAAGACAACGCCACATGGGTTATGGATGGATCTCAAAGCATCGCACCAATGGATCGTTGGGGAGAATCAAGCGCCAGCTCAATGCCTGACATGTCTATTCGCTACAACAGTGATAGCGACGGAGACGACGATGATGAACTCAGCGCATGTTCATGCCCTGTATTCGATCGGTGGGCAACCGATGCATCTTCGGTTAATGGTGCCAGTTGGGATGACCAGAGCACACGATCCACCCGTAGCACTGCTAGCTCTGATGCCGCACCCAGCCGTCCCGCAAGAAGACCTCAATCACCAGTGAACGACGATGACTCCATTCAGGATGAATCATCTACAGATGCAAGATCCCCGTATGCTGTAAGGTGGTTGGACGACTTCTACTCTACCGTTACCTACATCCGAAGAGATGGATTGTGTCCTGCAATCCAAGAGATGAGGACTCGCCGCAAAAACAGCGCAGGGAACACTGCCGCTTAGCTGTGAGACTCTGCTTGTAGTTTCCTAATAGGATAAGGACACGTAAGAAAGGGTTATCTACAAGCGTTTCTTTTTCCTAACTATTAAACTGTCTTCTTGAACATGTCTTCACGGCTTCGTAACCTGCATCACTATTCTACAACTTGCTCATCTTGGCCCCACCACGCAGGCCATTGGTTTCTTCAGAGGCATCAACGTCTGTCTTGGATACAAGAACAATCTCAATGCCATTCTCAAGTTCCATGCTACGGGTCGGAGGGACGGGGAGAGAAGTTCCCGCAGTAATAGCGTATGCCGGATTCTTTGAAGGTTAAAGATATAAAAGGTTTGCCTGATCAGTGCAAAACCTTTCAAGCTTACTTTTTTGCTTGCAACTTGGCCATTGGTCTGTCACATGTGGACCGGCAAAAACAAAGCTGAATTGAGCTCACAATCTCAACTTCCAAGAAAAGCAGAAAACAACTCAAAATTGCCAACTTCACTGCTCAGAAGCATACAGCTACAGATGATGTAATGTTGTTGGGAAGGGGCACTCAACATGCAAGTGCTTAAACTGTCACACTTGCAAGGTCAAGATTAGTGCCCGTACTAATGGGGGCACTCATTGGACAGTCAACAACGGCGACACACCATATCCATCCATGGCGACGGTTTGGAACTCCCATCATGAACCACCGTGTTCAAATGGCCGAGCAAGATAGTTGTGAAACTGGGCTTCATTGCTGGTTCGGGCGAGCGACTTCGTTTTGAACCCGGACAACCGCATTCGATGGGTAGTTCTAGTCTACATCTTACTATCAGAATTTTGTTTAAAACATTCTGTCTTTATTTCCACGCTCATTTGCAAGACCGTGGAGTGCAATGCCGATTGTTGGAAGCAGGTGTGGGTCCATAGATGTTGTCCACGCTCCCACAGAACGCGGATGCTCAAAATTTCGTGAGCGAAAGATTCCTTCGCAACTGCCGCACTATTGTACAGGCTGAATCCAAACTATTGAGACAAACGCAAGCCCGCTCCCGGTAAGACATGCGAATGCGAACCGGAACCTCTTGGAACGTTCCTCGAAAAGACTTAAAGGACTCGTATTAGCCTCAACCCTAAACTCAACTGACATCACTCCGTAGCTCCGAATCCAAGACACTCGTACATACACCTCTTCTTTCATTATTCGATCGATACCTCTATCTTTACTCTATCAATATGATGCTTCCTCCTCTTCTTTACAGCGGCTACTCCTCTTAACAAAGGCTACTACTCACCACCATGACAGGCTCATCTTGTTTGGCTAGGCTCGAAAGCGGCAGCGGCAGCCGTTCGATCGATCGGCCGACGGATCGATTCGGTCAGTCGACCAATGACTTCTTTCTTCTTCCTTCCACGGAGCGATCGACCATGACGCCTCTTTCACGAGCGAACGGAGTGCTACTACCATGAAGCGACCACAACAACAATGGCACTGGAAGGAACTGCTTCCGTTCGACGGATCGCTTGATCGATTCAATCATTCGGTCGGTGGCCGCAGATGGAGCGATCGAAAGCAACCATGACGCCTCCTCTTCCGCGAAGCCTTTGCTAGTGACACTACAAAGGCAACAAGCGGCAGCTCCTCTACTACTGCTGTCGACTGGTTGAAATCTGCTAAAAAATCTGCTCAATTTTGTGGCCATCAAGCCAACAATTCCCTTTGATGACTTGTGATCGGTGCTCCAGTCTTCATCCAAAGCCACCCACATCTCTACCAGACTCTACAGTGCAGATTGAGTGCTGAGAGTGAGGACTGGAGGACCTTTCCCATGGAGAAATCCATGGCAGAATGACAACAAAATGGAATCCAAGCCTGATTTTTCATAGAAACTCCATAGGAAACCTTGGAGATAGCAAATCCTTTTCAAGGGGAGGCTCTGTTAGTGTGTTGGGGAGCTACTGCTAGAAAAGGATTTGCTATCTCAATGTGTTGGTAAAGCTAATAGCCATTTGGTCAACACTGTTGCCATGGTGATAAAATTCAATTTTATTTCTTCATCTTTACTTTGTTTGGATCCATTCTTTTCAATGCAGGATTCGCAAAATGACCACTTCTGTTAGAAATGACCGCTTTTGTTTTTGGTTTGGCCAAAACGAGAATCCATTTTGACACCTGTCAGCGGTAAAAGAAGTCATCCTGTACCGCACCCCAGTTGCAGCGGTCACCACCTTTTCAGTTTGTTGTCTTCAGTGCTTTCCTTCGATATCGGTTCTATTTTGCCATGTCCCGTGTTCGAGTTCGTCGTGATCGCTCTGGTGGCCATGGGAGTGGGGCTAAGGGTACCACAGCAAAAGGCATGGCCAGACGAGCCATCATTGGATGCTCGATTTTTGTGTGCGGGATGATGGTGGTCTGGTTGGATCGGAAACAAACGAGTGCCCTACAAGGCATGTCTCGCTTTTTGGAACACTCAATGCCAATGAGTACCGATACAACCAATCATGAACAAGCAAGCAAAGGACCCCTTCATGCCCGAGGAGAACTTCGTCCCTATTGTGAGGGGACCACAGACTACTTTCAAGAGGAAAAGTTGGAGAGTGCCATTTCGCAGGCTCGATTGTTCCACACACAAGGTGGAAGTTTGAAATCTGTCCAATCTCTCATGGATAGTAATATTGACGCCACAGTGAAACAGCTGAATGTCACCTTCATTCCCAAGGGTATGCAGAAAAGCCAAGGAACTCAAGATGTAACCCAATATCTCAAATCTTACTATGCTCAGAACTATGACCCTCGTGGAGGATATGGAAAACTGCTTCCAGGAGAGTACACAAAAGAGCATCCAATGATTTTGGAAGGACGTTATGTACAGGTTGCAGATCCAGATGCCACAAGAGAACGCTGGGATTATTCTCTCGGACCTCAAGACTTGGCTTGTCCAAACTTGCTCCGAATGGGAGGCCGAGGAGCCGATGGCACCAAATGGTATTGTCAACCAATGCAGAAACAGGGGAAACCCAGCAGTAATGAGAACAACAACCATTTGCGGCGTCTATCAACTGATAGTGCCAGAAGCAGCAAAAATGACTGCCACATTATCAGTATCGGTGGCAATGACAACTGGACATTTGAGTTGCAAGTGGTGAAAATGTTACCAGGATGTGTTACCCACACTTTTGATTGTACCCTTGAGAATGGAACTCCCAAGCAAAAACCTGACAGAGACGACATTCGATTCTACAACTACTGCATTGATAGCAAAGAAAGAAAGGATGAGCATGGACGACACTATATTACCTACTTTGACATTGTCCAGAAGGCTCAGCTGAAGGTACCACCCCACATGTTCAAGATTGATGTTGAGGGATATGAGTATGATGTCTTCTCCTCCATGATTCAACAAGCCAATAGTGATGATGAAATGACAATCATTACCAAGAACAGTGATGGAACAACAAACACAGCACACCATCAACCTTCCTATTGGTTGCCCCAACAAATCATGGTGGAGCTACACTGGGCAACTCGAATGACTGGTGTCAGCTGGATGCCAAGGTCACGAACCACCGCAGAAATTGCTCTACTCTCCAACATGATGTTTACAGGAGGTGGATACATGCCCACATTTCGGCGGTGGATAAGGTTTTGTCCGTCATGCATTGAAGTTCTCTACTTTCGAACGTTGTGCTAGCCACTTTGCTACTGGGGTTGCAAAGGACAAGAACTGCTACAGCTTGCCAAACATAGACTACTAGCAAGCTCGATAGAAAGATGTAGAATAGAAGTGTATCAGCAGCTTCGTGTGAGAAAACAATACGCGGACACTTACAAAAAGTTCAATGTAAAACTATTATGGTACATGGTTGGGACGGGGGTTTAGAGTAGGTAGATTATCTACGGAAGCCAGCCGGGGCCAGGCTAAAGCAAAGAAGAGTTTGCTTTGGGAGCCCCATGCTATTGACTTGATTCTTCAGTCGACATTTTGACATCAGGGGCTTGGTGTCGCCGTAAGAGGGCATTCTCTTTTTCCAGGGCTTCATTCTGTTTCTCTAGAAGCCTTATCCTTTCCTCTACCTCTACCGGTTGTTGCTGAATCCACGGGGGTTCATTGTTGTCACTGAGATTGGCCGCCCATTGTGCTGGCAGGGAAGTACTGCTAATCGATGACCTTCGGGGTTGAATATCCTCACCAAACAACTTAGGGATAAAATAGATGACAAGGGTGGAAAGGGTGTCCACACTGAACAGAAAGCTGCGGCAGTAGGACAGGAAATATTCCTTCATCACCGATGGCAGGAGGTAGGTAAAGAGCCGAAGGACCACAAAGACAGAATGGGAGTACACAAGCAGAGCTAGTGTTCCTGTCTCACGAAAGCCTTCCATGCCCACTTTCCTCATCTGCACAGCCAAGGTTGTTGTACATAGCAAGAGCAGTGCGTTCCACCCAACGCTGATGATGACCCAAGCACTAGACTCGGAGCCGCAAACATCCAATACCCACACGATCGTTTCCCCTTCTTCATTTTTGGTTTCTGTCAGTTCGTATTCCTGCATGACTTTGGGCGTATCCTGCAGTGAGGACCACAAAATGAGAAAGATAACCACTAGGGTGCAGATTGTTGCCATGACACCAAACAAGTAACGTCGATCGAGCCGAGATCGGCGCATTTTCTTGCCAACGCTCATGATATGGTTCACCGCAGCCACTTTGACAATCAGAGGAACCAGTTCCAGTGTATACCCAATGTTGATCAACCACACCTCGACAATGCAGGAGGCATTCGTGGAAGGGATTCCAATGACAATGG